TCCGAGACGATGCTCCTAGGAAGTCCGTGGAAACGCCAGATGTCTTTGACAAATGCGTTAGCGGTCTGTTCCGCATTGATTCCCGTCATTGGGATGAAGTGAGCCATCTTTGTAAAACGGTCCACGACTACCAATACGTTACGGAATCCTTATTTCTCCTTAGGTAATTCTACTACGAAATCCATCGAGATATCAGTCCAAGGTGTGGTGGCTAACTCTAGGCGTTGAGGGAGTGACAAGTGTCTCCGACGTTGCTTGGCTCTCTGGCATACATCGCAAGTCTTGACAAAGTTGGCTACATCCGTGGACATTCCTGGCCACCAGTAGTTCCTATCAATCAACTCAAGGGTTTTATCCCTTCCTAGATGCCCCGCTACGGGTCGATCATGATGTTCCTCAATGACCTGCTTGACCGCATAGCCCGGTACTACCCATTGACCATCGTGGGTGGGGTCATTTGAATCGGGACTCCATTCAGCGGCAGGCTCTACCTTTACGACAGCAGCCTCCGGTGGTCCAAAGATCTCAAGGTTTGAGTCAGGGAGGTGTTCATCCGGGACCATCCTCCGAACCCATCGTCTTTCCTGTTCATACCAACCCTGTAGTGGCTGAGGCAGCTCTACGCTCGGTATGTCGTACCACTGATCCAACTGATTCCATTCCTCTTCGGGGTTGCCAATCACTTCGGACCCAGTTTCTACGCTGGTCCGTGATTTTCTGACAAACTGTTCTGCGCTGAGTAGCTGTTTTACGGGCTGCTCACGCATTACTCCCCCTTCCATTGCGAACTCCGGACGCCTTGTAAATGCATCTGGCTTGCCGTTCTTTTCGCCTGGTCGGTAATGGATATTGAAGCGAAAAGGTGCTATCTTCTCGGCCCATCTGGCTTGTCTTCTCGACAACTTCTTGGTCGTTGTGAAATACTGCAGGTTTTGGTGATCCGAATGTATCTGGATAGGGATGTCCGTCCCTTGCAGCCAATGTCTCCAAGTCAAGAGAGCAGAAACTATTGCGAGCATCTCCTTGTCATAGATCTCATAGTTGACCTCTGCCTAGTTGAACTTGCGAGAGTGGTAAGCTACCGGATGTAGAATACCGTCCTCGAACACTTGAGAGAGTACTGCGGCCTCGGCCCAGTCACTCGCATCAGTCTCCACGATTGCTTCGCGGTGTTCGTCATAGTGTCGGAGTATTGGAGCAGACGTAAATCTCCTCTTGAGCTCGTCGAACGCGTCTTGCTGTTCCCTGCCCCATTTCCACACGGAACCTTTCTTCAGGAGATCTGTCATAGGTCTGCAAACCTCAGAGTATCGGTGGATAAACCGTCTCAGGAAATTGGCGAACCCGAGGAAGCACTGAAGTTCCTTGACTTTGATTGGGGCTAACCAACCTTCGATCGCCTGAACCTTCTTAGGTGATACTCGGTTCCCTTTTCCTGATAGTATAAATCCCAGGAATTCTACCTCCTGTTGATACCACTCTGTTTTCTCGAGGTTTCCGTATAGATGGTGTCGTCACAGTCGTTCCGAAACTTCCCGTAAAAGAGTCGTATGCTCTTCTCTAGTCTTCGAATACATTAAGATGTCATCCAAGTAGACTACTACGCCTTGATCTAGAAGATCCTTCAATATAGTATTGACCATGACTTGAAACGACGCAGGAGCGTTGGTCAAGCCAAAAGGCTTACCCTATATTCGAAAAGGCCGTATTTCGTTCGGAAAGCGGTTTTCCATTCTTCGCCCTTAGCAATCCTAATCAGATTATTGCCATTTTTCAGGTCTATCTTCGTGAAGTAGAGTGCTCCTTTCGTTGCGTCGGCCAGCTCATTCATAAGTGTCAGCGGATAGCGGTTCTTGATCGTAATTCCATTCAAGCCGCGAAAGTCGACATATAACCGAAGCTTACCATTAGCTTTCGGAACGAATAGGACGGGTGCCGCTGCTGGGCTAGTGGAGGGGACTACTTTGCCGGAGGGCAAGTTCTGGTCCAAATACTCCCGGAGTGCCTTATCTTCAGGTGGGGAGAGCGAATAGATCGGTCCCCACGGAGGCTGCTTTCCTTCAATAAGAGGAATGATATGATCCCATTCAGAGTGATCAGGTAGTCGAGCGGCTCCTTCCTTGGAGAACACGTCGGCGTGTTCCTGAAACTCCACCGGTATAGCACTAACGAGAGCCTCGTTTACCGATGCTCTTGCCCAAAAGGGGTGTTGCTCGATCGTCGTCTGCTTCTTGGGTGACGCCCTCAACAGCCTGATGACCAGCTCTTCTGGGTCTTGATCGTATATGTCCTCGACTGATACGAAACATCCATTGACTATACAGTTGTTACTATGGAAGCTAATACTGTTGCGTCCCCAATGGATGGTTGGTTGATGCTCCTTGAGCCATCGATGTGGTATGACGAGGTCCTCTCCTGCAAACGAGCCAACCTCACAGGTAATAGCCCTATCTAGATGGTTGCCGATGCGGAGGGAAAGAGGTTGGGTGGTGTGAGTGCCGGAGTTGGGCATAGGGGTACCATCGGCCTGTCTGATGATGAGAGGCTTTGGTCGAGGTCGAGTATGTATTTTCGCACGGTGGATGAAGTCCCAGGACATGATCCAGTCTTCTGTGCCACTGTCCAAGAGTCGTTGACTGTTGCGACATGTCTGGTACTAGTTGCGGGGTGATCCCAAGAGATCTCGATCTCGAGGCGGGTTTCTTGTGTGTTGAAAGACATGTTTGTATTGTTGGTCTGATAAAGGGTTTGTATTGGTTCTGGGTGTGGGTTTCGATGGTTTTTTCTTCGTTGAGCGCGGGGTGAGGGGGTTTATATAGAGAGTTCGAGTGTTTGATGAAGATCATGGTACAACACTTACGCACCAGGCGTTTTCGGGGTGTAACCCCATCCTCAGAGTGTGTGTAAAGAGAATTGAATTTCCGCGCGTGTAACAAAACAAATATAGAAAATCCCGTAGCCAACCTATAAGAATAACCATAATACATAAAAACCTGGTTTTCGTAACCCAAAAATAGAAAGAACCCGTAACGCAACATGAGATACCGAAAAAAAATAGAAATACCCAATCAATTTTGATCCTCCAAAGTTGTAATCCTTGCCCTAAATGCCTCATTCTGGGGGCCCAATTTCCGCTTCTTTTCACCCTCCCTTCCGTGGTCTTTTCCTCCGGAAGGATACCGTTTCCTCTTCAGGTCGGTTAACCTGACCTTACTCATCGCCACGCAATCTTTAGCGAAGTGGTTATCTCTACCACAGCGGAAACATTTCCCTTCCTTTTGCCACTTCTCCGTTTCGTCCTTGGTGACACCTAAGTCATCCGAGGGCTTGGAGTTGTGTGCTGGTGCGGGGAAAGTTTTCCGAGGTGCGGGGTTGCGCGATTTTCACCGTTCCGACTTCTACTCACGAGGTTTCACGACATCCTTGCCACGTAAGATTTCTTGTCGGGCCTTCACCTCGTGATCCTTACGTCCAACCTTCCTAACCCAGGCTAGCCATTCCGCGAAATCTTCTGGTTCCTCGATCGCGTTCGAGAGGCGTTGTTCCAGCGAGGAGTTTATTCCTGTTAGGATCATGGATTTCATTATGATCGGTCCGACCTTCGCGTCCCATTCCAGATTCTGCATCTCGTTGATGTAGTCATCGATCATGCCAGTTTGACGGAGCCTATCCATCTTCTGCTTGGCTTGTTCTTGACTTGTTCGATTGCCGTACTGAATCCGTAATTCGTTTTTGAAATTCTCCCATGTTCCGATGCTGGGGTCTACCGATAGTCGCTCCACGAAGTTTCGCCAGAATTTTGCGGCACTCCCGGTAAGTTCCAGGGATGCCCACAGGATTTTAGTTTGGTCGTCCCACCGGACTTTCCTCTGAAGTTCAATTAAGACTTCCATTTGGTCGATCCAGTGTCGCACGTCTTCGTCGGCTTTACCGGAGAAGGAGATTTTTGCCTGTTTTGGCGTATCTCCCAGGGTGGCGCGAGGGGGGTGCATGAGATCTACCTCCTGCTGCCTATTACGGCGCCTTCGTTCCTCCCGTCTTCTTTGCCTTCGTTCGCGTGCTCGACGGTCGTCCTCTGAATCGGAAGAGCTAGATGAATCGGAGGGGGATGGGTCCCGAGGTTTCGCGCGGTTCCCGCCATTGCCATTATTGCCATTCCCTCCCCTGCCTCCCTGTTCGCTCCGTTGGCTTTCTCTTGCCTCAGAGCGAGGGGGTATGGGGGGCTGGCTCCCTAATCCTTCCGGTCTCTCTCCGGAATTGCTAGGGGGGTTCGGTGGAGGTGGTGGGGGTACTATGCCTCCGCCTCCTGAGCCTTCGGGGGCTGCTGCCGTTCTATTGGCTGCTACCCGCATCTGCTCGATTACCTCCTCCAGGTTTTTCTTCGTACCTGCGAACTGGTATTCCATCACAGCTTGTCGGTCCCGTTCCATCTTCTCGAGGGCAGCCGCAACTTCCGCGGGTATCTGCACTGGGCCATCTTTTGGGAGTTGCTGGACGAAGTTGGTCAGCGCGTTTATGTGCTGATCCTGTCGTTCCTGTCTTTCCTGATGCGCCCTAGTTGCTTCGACGATCTGCCCGAGGACTTGACCGAGGTTGCTGGTAGCGGCGGTGGACTCCTGTAAGGGACCGTGCACGGAGGCTTGGTAATGGGGTCGAAGGACACTAGGGGGCTCCTGGGAAGGAGGAAGTAGGCTCGCACGATGACGAGGGTGGAGTCAGCGGTGTGCCCGAGGGCAGGGACAATGGTCCGTACTAGGACGGAGGAGACAGCGGTCGGCGAGGGGGCCGAGGGGAACAGCGGGGTAAGCGAGCAGAGGGCCACGAGGGTGACGAAGAGGAACACAACGGCGGATGCGAAGAGCGTGACGGGCAGCAGACGTAACGGGGACTGAAAGTATAGAAGTGTATTGAAGCGAAGTAAATCCCCCAAAGTAATAACTCAAAGTAAAATACAAGATGTTGCGTAAGGAAAGAAGTAGACAGTGAGGGGGCAAGCACCCCTATATATAAGAAAGAAGAAACAACCCGATTACTAATCCTTCGCAGAAACTTCCGGCACTTTCCGATGACTCATGCTTCCTCCGCGTTGCGGTGGTGGTTCGTAACAACTCCGCTCGTAGTTGGGCCATGACCTGGTTGAGCTGATTGTCGCGCTCGGCGCTGTCCCCAGCGAACTTGGCATGGAGGTCCTCGACGATCTTGTTGGTGTACTTCTGCTGCTGGCGGGTGAGTTCCCGAAGTATGGGGATATCTCGCACGTGCATGCTGAGTTCCTCGATTCCTCGGCTGAGCTGTTGCACTACTGGAGCCCCTTGTCGCTGGACTTCTTGTCCAATGAGGTCGCCGAAGGGGTTCCCCACTCGTTGCTCCTCTATGTCCATGTTGGTATCCTCGTCGTCGTCCATTACCCGAGGCGCCGAGGGCCTCTGAGTAGAGGATCTCTCTCTGATGGGGGTGACGTATGGGGAGTACTCCCGGTGGTCTACCTGCCGCCTCCTCGCCTGCCCATAGGATTCTTCCTGCCTCGTCGATGTGAAGAGGGAGCCTATCGGCACATCTCTCTCTTTCCTGTGGCGCCTCTTCGCCTGGGTTTCCAATATACCTCGATCTCTCAAGGCGATTGAACTCTCCATGTTGTAGTCTTTCTCCGACCGTTGCTGATGAGCTCTTGACATGGCTAAGTTGCTCGAGTTTGAGCTGTGGATGCCTTCTGCACCAGGGTTGAGCAATGAACCAGGGGGCTGGATGAGCAAGTCCGAAAGACCGTTGGGAGAGAGTGATCTTGATTGGGAAGAGTTCTGGGTAGTTGAGGATTTCGGGATCGTGTTCCTCGAAGGTAGCGGTGGTTCCTGCTTCTGCGAAGAAACCTGAGTAGTGAAGGTATCCGCAGTATAGATGTTCGGCGCTTCCTCTTCGAACGATGAAGGATGTAGCGCAAAGGTAGTTCTTGATGGCTGCTGTTGCCTCTCGGGGGTGCATATAGTACCTTGGTCTTCTAATAGACTAAGCGCTTATTCTTCTACTGAGAGCACGGTGACTATCCGTCACTAAGCAAAATATTCAGAGTATTGGTTTAAGCGAGTAGTTGTCTTATCGAGACTTTGGTAGTGTATGCGATAGGTAAAGAGTAAAGTTAGGGATAAGGTACAATATAGTGTTTGATTATTTATACTTTTTACAGTGAGACTATTTGATGCCTCTACCCACATCAAAAAAGTGCAAAAGCGTTTAACAAAATAACTCCTGATCTTTGTTCTTAAAGTTCTCTTAGGTCCTCGGTGATTCCAATAGTGTATGATGATAGCAGCAAATCTGCATCGCACTATGAATACCCCCGTGCTGACTTTTCATCATCTTCGGCTACCTCGTTACAATACCCTTACTCGGTTGGCCATTCAGGCTTGTTCCTTTCACGTGATATTGTCGACCGGATTGCACCCGACTGATGGTTGATGATACCCTCAAGTCTTCGCAGAATCCTGCCCTATTTATACATGTTGGAACCTATGCCAAGGCCCGCTTTCTAATGCTAACTGATACAACGATAATAGAATAAGATAATGCTCCCGAAGATAACCCAGATAGAAAAGCGCCCCCGCATAGTTCCGTCCTCCATTCTAATTCCGACACCTAACCATGAACCTTGCAATTGCCAGTCATCGGGCTGTACCATACTATTATCCTAGACCTACTTCCCGAAGTAGAACAGCCTACAGCCATAAGCCCCGCTTCCTATTCTATTTCGGGTGAGACACCCAATAGTAAGCGTGCCGTCATAATAGTATAGTACTAGTGTGGTAACACCGCATGCCCCCACACTACCCGATACCTTTCTATGCTTGTCCTTTCGTTACCCGTCCGTTCTCGCATCACAACCCGTCACTCGTATTCCTCCCTGTCCTAAACCTTTTAGAACAGTGTTCCGTAGTTCCTGTAACACTTGCCCATGGCGGGGTAAGAGAAATCTTCGTCTTGAGTAAATTGTTGGTCACGAGAGACTAAATTGCCTCGCCTGAAGTGGACAACCCAATCATATGAGTCCTCTTTAAATTTTCAATGTGGCTGGTTTGTTCGTCGCGAGAAGGATATACGTTCAATCAGAGTAGTTGTGAGACATTGAAATGCGGTCCAAGGAGCTAACGTATGCAGAATGGGTTTGGGAATTAAGAATTGTTTGTCCGTAATCAGAGGTTCGCACTCTCCGACCAGATATGAGGTACGCCTAGAGGCTGCGGGGCCTATACACAAATAAATAGAGAATAACCGTGAGATTTGAAGTTTGGAGTGTGGGAGAAAATGACTTGAATGTGGTTTGAACACATGACCTTGAGGGAGGATGTGTTTTGGGTACCAGGAAGATACTATTGCGCCACTGAAGTTCCAACGACATTGTAGGTGTTTGAGCGCTGTATATATACACAGATTTTAATACCATGTGATCTCCTGATTACATAATCCCTGACACTAAACCTTCTGAATCCCTTGTTCCTTCTATGCCAGTGAGTCATCCCTTATACATGAGTAAAAGTCGCAATGTCCTATTTCTACACTTCGCCTCACTTGCCATATCGTATCAATTCTGAAAATCTTTGGTTAGCTGGTTTCGGTAGTCGTTTGGTCATGGTGTCTGCAACATTGTCTTTGGTTGGGACATAGGGAAGTTTGAAGGTTCCAGCTTCGAGTTGTTCATGTATGTAGTAATAGTGAACGTCGATGTGTTTGGACCGGTTGTGAATGTCGATGTGTTTGTACCGGTTCTGAATACGTGGGTTCCGACAGAGTTTGATAGATCCTGTTTTGTCGGCATGGATATTGTATTGGTATTATTGTTGGAGTTTGCATAAGGCATTACGAATCTCTACTAGTAGTTGAGCTGTGAGTGACAGAGCCATATATTTGGCTTTTGTTGTTGAAACTGCTACTGATTTCTGCCTCCGGCTTCTCCAGCTGATTGCTGATTTTTCTAATCTGAACATCTATCCTGAGAATGATTTTCTGTCATCTAGGTCTGAAGCATCATGGTAGGAATTGTCTGAGAAACCATCGAGTGTTCTAGTGTTTCCTTTTGAGTAGAAAAGGTTCAAGTTCCAGTCTTTGATTCCGTTAAGGTATTGGAGAGTTCGTTTCATGGATCGACTGGTTGGAAGGCTGGGGTATAAAGAGTGGGATTAGTTAGAAAGATTCTATTGGTTTCTACGAGATTCTGCTCATCGTAAGGGTATGAGTCACGTTGCATTTGTCATCTCTAGGGTTTTCTTGAGTATATTAAGAGGGCTCACCCTCGCTTCTTCTCTCTTTCTTTCTCTTTCTTTTTGGTACGCAACGTCTTTTGTATCCACGCTGCCAGTATCTATTGATATACAATACTATTCCTTCTCCTCTATCAAAGGGGACCTCTGCGCTGCCGCTTTCTTACCCCATTGACCCCCAACAATATTAGGATTCCTCCGGACCCCTATCGAAGACTAACTCCTCAGCTTCTACTGCTACTATTTTTACCCTGTGGAATACTCGTTACTCACCCCCTTAAGAGTTCGTTTGACAGCTCGTAGGTGGTCCTCAGTTGTACATGAGGAGTACTGAGAGAGGGCAGTAACAGTGTGGGTGATATCAGGTCTAGTTGCTATGCTGGCATACATGAGCGATCCAATTATGGACTGACACTCAATTGGTTTCTCGACATGGTCTTCCGGTTCTCCTTTAATAGTATGGAAGCTTATGTCTGGTTCGAGTGGTGCCAGTATGCCAACTGGTTTGCAATTATTCATTCCAAATTTGTCTAGGATTTTGTTGATATATGATTCGAAATCTGCCTTGAGTAGTTGTCTGATTTTGTTTCTGAATGGGTACTAGTCGGGCCCGAATATTATCACAATAATGTTATCAACTTGAACATACACCGATATGTATAGTTGGTGTTTCTTATGTATGAAGAGATATGGGTCGAATTTGGTTGGGACAAATCCGTTCCATTGAAGGGAGTCTGCTAGGCACGTGTATCATTTACAAGGTGATTGTTTTAGTAAATATATGCATTTGCGAAGTTTACAAACTTTGTAGCCCTACCTGTAGCCTTCAGGTAGTTCCATGTAGATTTCCTCCTTAAGTATACCGTATAAGAAGGCTGATTTGACATCAATTTGTTGCTGTGTCCAACCGTTGTTTGCAGCTATAGCTAGTAGGAGTCGTAGGAAATGGTATCGGGCAACGGGGGTGAAGATTTCATCATAGTCTTGATACTGTACTTGGGTGAAGCATTTGGCGATGTACCTAGCTTTATATCTTTCGATTGTCCCGCCTGTGTTGTGTTTTATCTTGAATACTTATTTTCTTCTGACTACTGCTCGGTTAGTTAGTCTGTCAACAATATCCCAGGTGTGAGCTCTGTCGAGGGTGTCTTTTCCCGTCTGTGTTGCCTTCTTCCATAGGTTTTGATTATCACTTTTCATTACTTGATTGAAAGTGGTAGGTTCAGTTACTAGATGTACCCGATGTATGGTAGGATCCAAGTTGTCATACTGGCTTTGGAGCTTTCCTTTGTCCTTTTTGTGGTCTAGACTGTCTGCTTCCATTGCTAGTTGCTTGGTTTGTTAATTCATATCTTCATCGGATAGTATTTCGGATACCTCCTTGTCATAGGTGGTCCGATATTTTCTGTCCGATTTCTTTCCTTCTCTCTTCAATGTTAAGTGTTACTTATTTCTCCGTTCTTTCACGCATGCGATTCAGTCTTCTTGTTGTTACAAGATTTGGGATTGCAGATTCTTTCTCTTTTTCAGTTGTTGGCATCCAAGGTTTTGCTTTCCTTGGCGGTTCTGGAAGAGGTTTTTCTGCGTTTTCCTGATTAGCTTCCTGTTTATTACTTTCTTTGAGTTCAAATACAGGAGTTGGCCTCATAAGCCTAGCCCTCAGTCTACTTGTATCTGTTTCAAGGTTTTCTTCGAGTGCTGATGATTCAGGTTTTTGATCAAGCCTGTTCTCTGATTCATATCTGTCGTCTGTTGGTGCAGGCGCCACTTCTGGTTTCAGGATAGGGGTGTAGTCGAGTTCCACGCCGGAGACTTCCCCTGACTCAGGAGGGGGGAATGTGACATCTCGACTTCCAACCAATCTATTTTGTGATCCTATCCAGATGTGCTAGTGTTTGGTACTGTCAGAGTATCCGACAATGATTCCTTCGTATGCCCGGGTGCTAGTTTGTTTCCTCAGGCTGTTGGCCTAGAGTTTTCTGGGATGTGGATATAGCATTTCCTTCCGAATGGTTGAAGGTGTTGGATACTTAGCTTTGAACCTTTTAAGGCTTCGAAGGGGGTCTGAGTCTTTCCCTTTAGCATACTATGAGGTAGACTGTTTTTAAGGTAGACAGCTGTTGAGTATGCTTCATCCCATTACGATTTAGGATCATGATAGTCCATGATCATACACCTGACCATTGTGGTTATTGTTCTATTGAATCGTTCTGCAACTCTATTTGATTCCGAGTCAGGAGTATATGGGGGAGTATGTTCGTGAACTATTTCTTATAGATTGAAGTAGTCCATTGTGTCTTTGTTGACGTATTCACCACCACCATCAGTTCTGAATCTCAGTTTTGCTGTATTGTACTATTTCTCGATTTTCGTAACGTAGTCTTTGATGACTGTTATCATATCGGCTTTCTGTTTTAGCAGATATATCCAGGCGAAGCAGGTGTAGTCGTCAATGAAAGACATGTAGTATAAGGCTTTTCCTTGCATTTGTATGCCGAATTTTCTAAATAAGTCTGAGTGGATTAGTTCGAATACTCGCTGGGATTTTGTACTAATTGTTGTATGTTTCTTTTGTACACTTTTTGATAGTGCCAGTGCACATTGACTGCAATAGAATATTTCTGGTTTTGGAGGTTGCTTATAAATGTCTTCATACAAGTTATCTCATGTCGCAAAATGGCCTACTGCTTGATGCCATTTAGTGTAAATGGTCAAGCGAACTGTATTGCTAACTACTTGTACATTTCAAAGTCCCTTATCCAATTTTGCCCAAATTATTCTTTTCTTTTCTTTCGTAACCAATTTGTTTCCTCCTCCTGACTCTGTTCTAAACCCCCTTTCGTCGAGTACGGTTTCTGAAACCAATCACACATTTCCCATGGTTGTGACCAGCAGCATATCGATGAGGACAGTGGTAGATCTATCAACATTGGGAAGGTAGCATTCAAAACTAGCATTTCCCAATATGGTGCTAGTGATAGCATGGGTGGTGCCGTCAGCTGTTCGGACTGTGCTGGTGCCAGTGTGAGGGCAGATGTTGAAGAGTTGGTCTTTGAAGGGTGTTACTTGAGAAGTAGCTCCAGAATCAAGGATTCAGGGAAGGGACAGGGAAGGTGAGGTGTCAGTGCATACCATGCATACTGTTGTGGATGATTCGTTGATAACCACCGATACTGAGTTATATCTGCCTGTTCTCCTCCTGCTTGTATCACTTGTTTTGTTCTGTTCTTTGAGCTTTCTGCACTCCTTGTACTTATGGCCGTGTTTAATAGGGCCACTGTAGGGCTGTTATAGAAGTAACAGTTCTGTCAGTTAAGCCATCGACCCTAGGGTAACCACAGATTGTTCTTCATCGACGGGTGAAGACAAGAGCTGTTGAGCTCTTACTTCTATTGGTATGGAGGGTAGGGATCCTGAAGAGCAAGGAGACTTACAAGTCGAGCCAGATGGCTGGGCTAAAACTAGAGCAGAAGGACAAGCATGCCAAATAGAAAAAGTAACCCCAAACATAAGTTACCCTACCTTGATAGTCGACCTTTGAGGTGAAATAACTTTGCAACCGATGTCCGGTAAATATGCTTTAGGTGTCAGAAAGGATCCTGGCAATGGTCCAGTCCATTTGGGGTAGTTGAATGAATGTGTTGTGTAATTGAGGAAACACTGCAAAACAAACACGTTTTAGAACCCCAAAAATAACCCTCGGAGTGTCGAACCACCGGAACTGTTCTATTTCAGCTCGGTGGATCTTTGGGGAATAGGAGTACTACCCAAGCTACTAAAGCAAACCCTCACTTTACAAACACCCAAATCCATTCTAAATAATCTGAGTAAATAATTGTTGTCTGATTGGTTGTTTCTGCTGGTTTTTAGGATCCTGACCAGCTCTTGGTAGAAATTGCATGATTTGACTCGGCGGAAGTTCATCCGAAGTGTGGGAGCAACTCCTCTCGCCCCTCATGGAAAATAATCGCTATGCCCCCCACTATTGACAGCCGGATGGCCACCAGAACAAAGAACCTGAACAAGGTTGCTGAATTTCTATAAAGAACTCGGTAATGCCCCAGGTTGTCCTCTCATAATTATCGGATCTTTACTAGCGAGAAGACCCCTTAAAGTTATTAAGTTTCTCGACTACAAATAACGATCAAATAAACAAACCCTCTCTTTCTCATCGAACGAGCCCCATCATAACTCATTCGTTCCTTTTATCATTTCTACCTGATCGAAGTCACAGCTGTACCCAATCATAGCATCCCTGTTACATACTGGTACGGTTGATTCCGTTTCTTGCACTAGATGCATTGCTTGCCATTTGGGTTGGGGGTATTTCTGGTGTGAAGTACCCTGTTGTTGCCGGTGAGAGGGGTTTCCTCTTGTAGGTTTTGTAGCCATTGGCGTACATCTTCATATGTAATATCCTGTTTGGTCTTAATGTTATCGATGACGTTGCTCATTTACTGTGGTAGTGAGGCTAGTAGGAATGTTGCCATCGCTTCGTTAGATTTGGTGGGGGGTAGTAGGGTGTGAGCAAGTTTGTGGTCGCCGCTCTGATACTTGGTTTTGAGTGTGTTCCAGTTCGTGTTGAAGGTTTCAAGATGCTCAGTTAGGTTACCATTGTCTTGCATCTTTGTGTCTAGAACACGGCTGAGGAGTCACGGTCTGATCGCCGCGTTTGGTAATACGCGATCTTAGATATCTTTGAACGCCTTCCATGCATGATAAGCATTTTTAGTAGAGACGACTGTTGGTTGTATGTCTTCGGCTACAGCTCCGATGAGAAAGCTGTGCATTTGTTTCGGGCCTTTTGAATTTCGGCCTTGGTGAGGTCTGTGTCATCTTCTGAGGAGTTTTCGATGCTCAGTGCTTTCCACCAGTCTGCTGCATTAAATGTAATCCTCTAGTCAAATGACCAAATTTGATAGTTGGATTGTCTCTTTAATTTTGGGAGTCCATCAAACTTGATACGAATGTTACTGGTGCTCATGTTGTCTGAAGATTTAATCTCCACGGCTTTAGATGACTCACCAACGTTAGACATTATGTTGAATGAAGAGTAATTGAATTAACAGAGGTGACGAGTATTGTGCGGATTTTATTTGGCAAAATCCAGGCTCATAACCTAGAGTCTGGAGTGTGGGAGAAAATGACTTGAGTGTGATTTGAAGACGTGACCTTGAGGGAGGATGTGTTTTTGTAGTGCGAAGAAGATACTATTGCCCCGCTGAAGTTCCAGCGCCAATGTAGGTGTTTGAGCGCTCTATATATACAGATATTTTAATACCACATGATCTTTCAATTACATAATCCCCCACACTAAACCTTGTCTGAATCCTTTGTTCCTTCTATGAGTCATCCCTTATACATGAGTAATTCCATACATAACCGATGTCGCAATGCCCTATTTCTACAAGGTTTTGCTCCTTCACGTCCCACTATGCGCTAAGAACTGCAAGAGCAAGTTTTCCAGTCCTCTTGTAGGTAGATTCATATACCAACTGGCGTTGGCTGGTGGGATGCTTAAGCTGATACATCCGCTTAACTTATCGGGATGCTTGGTATCTGACATCTAGAAATATGACCTACCTGCGCATATGACTTAATGCACTTTCACCCTGCGAAAACCCCGTCGTCGGAAACCTCTTAAATTATTAGTCCCAACCTAATTAACATTGAGATTTATTACGGATCTTCCTACTAATTACTAAGTAACGCAATTCATTAGCTTTCTTGGTACTACATGTATTCCTTCTTTCCAGCTTACAGGACTTGTGGGATATTTTCGATGGACAATTCAAGTCTGTCATAAAGCTAAACTAGCTAATCTACAATGTTAACTCCAGCTAGAACCCGGTAGATATGTATCCCCAAACAACATTACATAAACAGTCGTGCTCTGTGGGCGTGATCCAATATGTAAAATTGATACAGTTCTGCACTTATAGCATTTAGTGCTTTTGCGATTTTAGGTGGCTTACAGGTGGAGGTAGTCACTTATACGTACCTTGATATCGTATGGTATATCCACCGCAGTTCAGGTCCGATACGCCGCAATCTGAGTTGGTGCGGGGGGTTCCATAATATAACTCTTCGGATTTTCAGGCTTTCGGATCAGTCCAAGAAAATATACTTTGCAAGAGATGACCATAGTATCAAGTAGTAGAGTATTTGTAGGATTCCGCAGTACTTGGGGAAGTTCGTTGCACCTCAGCTCAGGGGTATGCCAACATCCAGAGGAACCCTGTGGACAAATATGCAAGTTTTGGTGTATGTAGAATCCCCCTACTGCAGCGCAACGAAACTTCCCAAATACAACACGTATCTACGGTATAGTATTGAGTAGGGGGAGAAATATGATTGGTTATATGTATAATAACTGATCACCGGCTGGGAATCAACAACCCACACAGGATCCATTGATCCATGTAGTACATACACGTACACAGGTGTTCTACGACACGCTGGACCTTTGAAGGCCCACACGTAACACATATGATTGTGCTTCTATCGCTAGGCTCTAGCAATTGCAAAGTAGACCCCAGCGACATGACATCACTGTGGATTCATGTACAGCCTCCGGTAGAATTATTGTGGAAAACAGGGACCAACCATCACGCCGAGAATAGAGCGATTCTCCAACGCCACATTTCCGCAATAATTCTACCAGAGGCTGTATGTATGTACCAAACATAATTCAGCCCTTCGTAGATACAACTTTAGGAACAACGTGCAACCGATCGTCCATTAATTATTGATATTGTGGACCCCCCGACAGGCCGAGTATGGGCAGGTATTGGCGCAAACGAAAGGCACGTATTGTGACCGACAACCTAAGAGAAATAGTCGATGTGGCATGGGTAGGTGACCCCATGCCAGATCAATGATATATATATATATCCAGTCCTAGCCCTGATACTCCACAGACCAATTCACAGTATGAAGAGAATAGTTTCAATCTCGTACATATACTAAATCATTGTTACTATTAGTCAAAACGATTCTAGCGTTTCCTAGCTCGACCTATTCCCCCCCCCCCCCCCCCCTCTCTGCCCGGACACCCCGACAATATGAGCAATATCAACCACGAGGGTGCTCAGTTACACCAACGGGAGCCGGATGTTCCTAATCGAGGATCTGGAAGGATACTTCAACGGCTCTGGGATAAAATGCGTACGTTTTTGTCTTATTATGCATATATGATAATTGTATCCTAGAATATTCATTCTAACAGTTATTATTAACTTCCCTCAGATTCACCTCGAACAGAACCAACCAAAAAAGCGCTATCAAGAGGATGGTGGGTCAGGATACGCTGGCATTTCTGGACTCTTACACCATGTCTCATCACTGGAGTTCTCCTCTGGCTCAACCTCTCCAACTTCTCTACCGGTCGGGAGATTGCGATTGGGCGGCGCAATCCGGAAGTCACAAGCTTCGTCCTTGGAGTTGTCGCAGGGTGCGCAAAGGCTCACGAAATCATAATGGTGGTCGGGCTGCTTAATATAGCGAGGCAGGCTATCCAACGCGGGTTGACCCAAGGCGGTACATTACTTGGGCTTCTAGGTGCTGAGAAATCCCTCTCGACTGTCCTCTTCATCTCCTCACTGGAGTTCCGCGCCGCATGGAAATATGGCTTTTCTGAGGGACCGCGGAAATTAAAAATAAAGATTCGCAAAATTGTGGTAGTTATCGTCGTAGTTTGCTGTCTATGTACGGTGGTGGGTCCGGCGACCTATGTCTTGATGGTTCCTAGACTCAATTGGTTCGACGATAAACCGTTGGCGTGGAACCACCCTAACTATACATATGGAATTTATCCTCGCTGCTGCCCCTATATCCTCATCAATCCTTCACTTGTTTATTCGAACCTCACGGATACAACTGAAGATACCAGGGGGGATTTATATACCTTCGGGACTCCTGAGTTCCCCAATTACAACTACTGGCAAGCAGTTCCGACTTTCGACCTGCGTGATGGTACCCCATATACAAACAACAACACTAACCCGGAGAACAGAACGATGTCACATGTGCATCATTATATGAACTTAGGTTTACCGGTGACGGTTAATACCACATGGTCACCAGGACGTTCGCTCGACGCGCGGGAGAGAAAGGCTAAGAACGGAACTATCTTCTCAACTGCCTGGATATTTGATATAGACCTTGCGACTTACGCCCTAAAGTCTTTATATCAACCGGCTCCAAAATATGCCCTAGCGCCACTCCGGCTTATCGCGGACATGACTGGTATTTGGTCCGAAACTACATGCAGGCGGAGAATTAGCAAGACCGTGCCGGGCTCAAATTCAAGCTTCTCCTTCGAATCTGTCACTTCCGGCTCGATTGGCGGTTCGGAAGTACCTAGTAGTCGTTTGATTCTATTATACGATAAAAAGAATATAACATATATGGGTTCGCATGAAGCGGATGTCAATATATCAAAGATTTGGATCACTGAGGGTTGGGTGGAGGGGGACCGTAGCGACTTCACCAACAAACTTATGGTTGTGCTTCAAGACGACAACTCCACCGGTACTGTGATAGTTTGTTCGAACGTTGTCACTTTAAGATCCGTCAAGGCGACCTCAGCCACAACACCATTTGATGCAAACGAGCTGGACGGAAGCAGTGGCAGTCTGAACTACTTTCCTGTTGGAAACCCGAGCTCCACTACTACTGAACGAAAGCTACTTTATCATAAGGAGTGGCTTGACTCGATCAATAGTGTGAGGCCGGGGAATGGGCAAGGAGATGATGACATACGTCAGTATCCGAACTGGACAGTCCCTCCCGCAAGAGAGCCGCTAGAACCCACCCAAAACAGCGCTCTTCAATTATGGGCAGAGTGGATTGCTCAACTGAAGTGGTCTAACTATTCGGACCCGGATCCGACTTTGCTTGAGCTAGGAGTCGGGGGTGCTTTCATATCAGTCATTTCGAGACTATACCCATCGAACACGCAATACAGCCCAGTAATACAGGACCACTACGGAGATGATGGCGAATTTAGCAATTCCTTTAAGTCAGGTGGACCTCCGGACGCTCTTATGGCGGAACCAATGATAGAGTGTGGGGTACTAATCCAACCTTGAAAGCCTCTCACTATGTTTATGGGTACCAATGGAAAACGATTTCCAAGATTCTCAGCATGGTAGTATTACTATTACATTCTTTTGTTGCAGTTCTCGGGTCTTTGTGGCAGTTGCGCAGAGGCGGTACAATAATCAAAGCTTGGGGCACAGTCGCGGAGTACGGGACGCTGTGCCTAGGTACAAGCCCTGAAAGAGCACCTCTTGAGAATGCATGCGCCGGAATCAAGTCAGGAACAACTCTACAAACTCTTGTTGGGATTAGAGAGATAGATGGAGCAGGAGCGGGTTCGGGGGTCAACCTGGAATTAACTGTTCTACCTCCGGAGCCCGAGGCCGTGGAAGAGCAAGAAAAGCTTCCGCGGCCTGGAAGTGTGTATGGAGCTCCCCCTCGCGTTGGGAATGAGGGGAGTATTATTGGGGGTAAGATCTCAGGAACTGTTGGTGTTAGGTCTGTTTCTGCTCCTCCTGGGGGTGCTACTACACTTGAAGAGTAAAGGGTGTATATTTGTCTTTGGGGGATGGTCATGAGATATTCCAATTTTTCTGTTTCATTTTTCTTTTCTTCCATTATACCGATAGGTGCTTCAGTCGACTAGTCAAAGTACGTACACAAATGAGATAGGATGAGATCGCAGGATTTTCTCAGGAACGGTCATGTTACTCAATTTTTTTTCAGCGCTCCTTTCAACGGAATCTCATTGCATGGAGTTGTATTTACAGAGTGACTTTTTGTAATGCATTCAAGTAGCATTTTCTGTACCAATTTCGCCCGAACTCTACATGATTCAAGTAGCATTTTCTTTACAAATTTGCTCTAAATTCCATACTCTCGATAAACTCAGCCGCTGACAGAATTAGGCAGTTCTGGTTTCTACGTTAATTGGGCAAGATCAGTTGTTAATTTGTAAAAAAAGGCACAAATTGAACTAAGGGATTCATTTACTGATTCGTGTGATATTTACTTGCGTCGTCATCATTCATTTCCATGATTCATTTTCTGATTCATTTGCTTGCGCCGTAGGGGTGGCCAGGAGCATCCCGCGCCTCAGGGGGTTAGTGTCAAGTCAAGATTGGGACGTGTTGCTGCAGGCAAACCTTAAGTTCCACTAGATTGGGCTTGTTGATCCCAAGCGGAGCGATCGACTAACTTTATCCGATATTATGTTTAACTTTGCCTGCCATAAAGCTGAACTTGTATCTACTGTGGTGATTGATTCGACTACAACCCGGCCTCTCTACCCGTGGCGTAAGCTTAAGTAAAGGAATCATGCCCGGGGTGGGTCGTGGCGACGCAATTTTACTATTTGTAAAGGAATCAATAAATATAAATGAATCCCTTAGTTCAATAGGTCCCCCCCCCCCCTCTGTTTTTTTACACATAAACAACTGAGATAAACCTACGCAATACACGATATTTGTTAATCTAAACAAAATTGTATACATATACATTCTCATACCCTGTGATCGAATACAAGTAAAAATGCATTTATTCAATTCTGCACTTTCGTCCAGTGACGTTAGGATCTTCGATAGCTTCCAGAATTGAAACGACCGATTGCCAATTAGCAGTGGGCAGGGCCAATCATATATGGCATATCCGCCGAGTCATAGCTCAGATACGGGCCGGGTTATAGTTGATATTGGGGTGGGCGAAAAGCACTCATACACAATAGAAGCTGTATCTCTGTACCCGTTTTAAGGCAGCCATCAGCACTAGATGAAAATTAGGTGCAGATGTATAGTCGGTTTGCATCTTCTGCGGGTTTGTATGGATCGAGCGTGGGAGATTGTTGGCAAACCTAAACGAAAGAGGATTCCGATCTACTTAAAATTAATGTAAAAGAGTCAGCATGGCGAGCTCGAGTATAGCTGACCTCATATCAATGATATACACCCCCGCCCCCTGGTGTTAACACACTCATTCACCATATATAGGGAACAAGCCCGGGAGAAAAAAGAGATCACAGTTCAAGCGTAAAAACATATACCCGACTGTCCCGCACCAAAAAAACAGCAATCAAAACGATCCTGACACTCCCCCAAATCCCGTTATATCCTTATCCCCCCTGACTCCATGATAACAATATGAGCAGTACCGATCACGAAAAAGGGTAATCACAGTCGCAAGGAAACGAGACTCCTAATCAAGGAAGGATATGTCAATGGCTCCGCTATAGAATAAGTAAGTTTTGATCTTATTTATCATGCTATTAGTATCCCAAATTTTCAATTGATCTAACGGCTAATAACTTAGATAAACCTTGCACAGAACCCACCAAAAAGGCGTTATCAAACGATTGGTTGGTTATGATGTTCTGGTATTCCTGGACCCTCACGTCTCATTACTGGAGCTATCCTCTGGCTCAATATCTCCAATCATGCTATCGTTGAGGAGATTAGGTACGGTCCAAAAGCCACGGAAATCGTCCTTGGAGTCGCCGTAGGATGCGCGAAAATCCACGAAATTTTGATGGTTCTTGGACTGTTTAACATAGCTCGTCAAGCCATCCAGCGCGAATTGACACAAGGCGGTATACTACTTGGGTTGTTGGGCGTTGAAAAATCCCTCTCGACTGTTGTCTTTCTCTTTTCACCGGAGTTCCGAGCCGCCTTGAAATATGGCTTTTCCAGCTCGGGCGGGCCGCAAAAAAGGATTCGTCATATGGTTGGGGTGATTTTTGTTGTGTGCAGTCTTTGCACAGTGGTGGGCCCGTCGAGTTATGTGATGGTGGTTCCTAAATTCGGTTGGTTTGAGGATAAACCACTGAAGTTGAGTGGGGCCGCCTATACCTATGGTTCTCGTTGCTATCCCTACATCATGATTAACCCTGCATTGGGTACTTTGGAAGGAACGAACTGGGACCATTTCAACAATGCTATCTTCGCGTCACCGTTTCCCACTTACAATTTCTGGCAAAGTCTTGAGAATGCTGATAGTTCGGCTTCGGTGATCAATGGAGTGGGTCGGCTCAATAATAAAACATACCACAATATGATGCATCACCACAAGAACTGGGGTATTCAGGTGACAGCCAATACTTCCTGGCCGGTGGAGCCTCGCGAAGTCTCAGACCCTTGGAGGGATAAATTTTACAACTAGCTTACTACAGGATTCAATAACGATAGATGGAATTCTCGCGCGCGAGGATAAAATGCGCACAAAGTACGAAGGATCACCAACCCAAATTGTCACCGACATAACAGAAATTTCGTTAAAAACTGTATGTAGAAGGAGGGAGCGCCGCGTTCGGCGCCCAGACACCAATCTTACCGATTTCTTCCCCAAACCCGTTGGACAAGATCCAAACTATGGTCCAGAAATCCATAGTAGTCGTTTGCTTCTATTGCATGAATTGAATGGCAAAAGGTCCTGGGGTCAGGCTCTGACGCTGTCAATATAACGAAGATTTGGATCACGGAATGCTTCGTGGAGACCAATAGCAATTTCACTGACACAATTTTGATTGTTCTCGCAAACGATGCCTCGGATAATTCGTTGATAGTCTGCTCGAACGAGGCTACTATGCGAAATGCGGAGGCAATCTCAACCTCAGTCGACGCATCTGATTCCAGCAAGTTCCATCCCAGCGAGTTCCGGAACAGCAGTAACCATGACTACCTTCCCAGTCAAAACAGTAGTTCTCCCCTGCGAAAATTACTTTATCATAAGGAGTGGCTTGATTATATTCATAACTTCACGTATGTGTCTGATAACGGGAATTACAAATATGCCAATGACTCAAAACAAGCAGCTCCTGTGCCCCGGGACATGTTAAAGCTCCCCAGAAACCGCGACCTGGACTTATGGACAGAGGGGTTCGGCCAGTTTGCTTGGGGCCACAAGTCCGCTCCAGACGCTACTCAATTCGAACTAGCTATAGGCAGTTCTTTCTTATCGGTTATCTCGAGGATAATGCCATCGGATACGCAATACACATCGCTTTTGGACGTACAGCTGAGCATTAATAGGACCGCACCTAACGCGGACTATATTGACTATTCTTTTAGAAAGGTTCAATATCCGACAGATCTTATGATTGAAAACAAATCCCTGTGTATATAACAACACAGTCATCACGGTCTCTCATCGTGTTTACGGTTACCGATGGAAAAACCGCTAAAATACTCAGTATGGTGGTATTACTTTTACATATTCTTATTGCCATTCTCGGATCATTTTGGCAGTGGCGTCAAGGCGGCGTCATCAAAGCGTGGGGACGGTTGCGGAGTACGGGACTCTATGCCTTGGTACAAACCCTGACAAAGCACTGCTCGAGAACACATGTGCAGGAATCAAATCAAAGGCAACTCTGCAAACTCTGGTTGGGGTTAGAGAGACAAGTGCATCGGGGGGTTCCAAACACCTAGAATTGACTATTCTACCAATGAACCATGGCCAGGGCGAGGAGAAAATGGTTAATACTTACAAGTATGGAGCTTCCAGGGGTGAACTAAAAGAGATTGTTACGCCTGTTCCTTCTCCTCTTCCTTTTAGTTCTTCTACACTCTCTGTTGATTTTTCTTCTTCGCGTGTTGACATTTTCACACCCCATCGGTAAAGGGTATGCTGTCTTAAACATTGTCGTGATCAGACATTTCGATCGAATTAACACTTGATTTGCCCACAGTTTCATTTCAGGGGCACATTTGTTGGAGAAGCTAGAAGATGGGGTTAGGATCGAGTTTACTTAACTATCGTGTTATTTTATTTTGTTTGATATAGGCATGTATTTTTCTTAGCACTCTTTTCAAGATCATTTTATAGTGTCATATTTTATCTGTTATACCGAGCATAAGATATATTTACATGTATGTTAGTCTATATTTCTGCCACTGTATGAAGATCTTACATAACTTTTTTTTTTTTTTTTTTTGTTTAATTCATTAATTGCATGCAACTTTACAGTTATGGCAATACATCTTACATAACTTCAAAGTTAGCACACGTACATGTAGTTGCAATGTCATGTGAGACGTACTGGGTATATGCGGTTTAAGGCATTATATGACATTATAACTTGCCCTAGCTACATGTACATGTACATGTATGCATGTACTTGTATCCCTTCCATGGATGAAAGTTGTACTCAAATTCGCGGCTTCCCTCTTTCAGCTATCATTTGCCTTGTGTGGTAACTTCTGCTAATTCTTGATTGGTTCTATTGTTATGAACCGTAAAAAGCAACACAATTCCCCTACTAAGTGGTGGGCGCGAATTTGACAAGTTTCATCCATGGAAGGGATACGATGACATTCATCTGATAAGATTCTGGTGTAGATGCGGCAGAGGATCGACGCACCCTTGCCTCTTGGCAAAACCTTAAAACTGCCACAACTGGCAGGGATCAATCCATGCAACTACAAGATTATTGTAGATAGGCTCTTTACGCGAGTTCTGATTACACTCCCTCGTGGGTGGGATCCTAGTGTCTGATGGCAGCCGGTATTTGAGGCCAATGGCAGTGTTAACTCTGGACCGTTGCTACGCGCACAAGTATCCTGAACAAGTACGATAGAGTGATTACAAATGGTATAGATGTACTCGTACCTACTCAGCGAAAAGTGATCAGAATTAAGCCCATGGGCGTATATCCCAGAAATATCGGTATTCACCGCAACATTCACTTATCAGATTTGGATCACTTACCTCAACACCCGGTACAAACATCGCTTGGCGCGCTTACATCCAAGTAAGCGCGAAGCGAGCCACCTATGTCTAAACTTGCGAATAAATACGCTGTGGAATAGAACCCAATGAAAGCATCTTGAATTTCATATACAATTACTACGTATTATCCACGTAGCAACCATCAAGGAAATTGGTGGGCGCAATCACCAGGCAGGATCCGCCATCACTAGGTGAACGACTGTATCTGCGGGTGGCTCAACTTTAACGTAGTATTTTCCTTCCACGAGGAATCAGGAGAGGCAGAGTGGATCTCAGGTGGGCCCGAAGCACAGAAAGTAATCTCAGGGTAGCTTACAGCAGTGATTTCACCCAGATTTTCACTATTATAGGCTTTGCCCTTGGCTTTTAAAAGGTGATACGGTGGTATCTAAAAGTTGAACAATCGTGGCTGCAATGACTCCTAGCCAATCAGAGGGCCTATTTCTAGCCACTCGCATTTGAGAGGGTATACATGGGGATAATACTATTCCACTTTGCACCTCTCACATACAAAAATGGTCGATCCCAATCTCTAATAACTTCACAAGCAGGTATACTACATGTAGGATACATGTAGATACCAAAAACCCGCAATTAAAAGGAAATTAAACTTCATCACTATTACTACTACACCTTTATTAATTTACGGCAGAAATTTTGTGTTTTCTGGTGGAAGGATTATTAGAGATTGACTTTTCGTCACTTTTAGTTACCTTTAACTACAAGTAGACGGGGGCCATCATACATGTATAAATGTATGAATATAAGTGACCATGTACATGTACCTACCGAGTTTTTCATAGGCCGACCCGGCCGGCCGAAAAGCAATCTGGACTCGTCCCGCCGAACGGAACCAGACGGTGGCCTGGCTATTGTATTATGTATATGTAATGAAGGCCAAACCTTTACTTAAATTTACACCGTTTTGAAAAATATTCCTCGTTATGCATCGATGCTCAAATGTAGGAATATTCCAAAGTCTTTTCATATATATAGTCCAATAGGACATAGAAGTGCAGAAATCAATGTCAGATATTTTGCTCCTATAAACTGCGCCGTATGAAGCCCGGGGCTTATTTATATCAGAAACAAGCCCTAGTTACATGCCGCAGCAGAATAAGTACAGAGCTTGGTCAATTGAGCGTATAACTCCATGGATCTAGCTACAGGCCTATATTATCTCAATTGATTAAAACCTCCGCTTATTTACTACTTAATGTGTATATGTAGTGTATGTGTGTTTAATTGATATCTACATAGACATCCTGCAGATACTTAGCTTAAGGAGATAACGTTCGCTCTAGTACCAAAGCAGGATCACATGTAAGTTACAGCCGGGGGCGGGTGCAAATTACGCAATTTACGTACACGTACAGTTGAACGCGACGCACCCGGCCTTAAATAAAGTATTTAATTTTTCACCCGTTACCATAGACCAACTACATCTCTCTCCATCCTAACACGATACATGTTTCCAACTACATGTACTTAACCTATCCCCCCTCAATCTAAATATATCGGTGATCTTTCTTTCAGATCACAAAGAACGTTCTCCTCTGCTGCAGATAACACATATCCGTTGCATATTGGTCACCAGCGTACGTTAACCACGGGATTTTTGATCTTTCATCATCATTCAGCCGTGAATTGCGATTACACCATGTGCCAGTCTCCGTTCCATTCCGTATTGATTTAACTCACGCAACCATCACACCTCAAATCTGCTGTGAGTATACCCCGCCTACCCTTAAGTGCGTGATTGTGAAATCAGCTAAAAGTATAAGTTTTATTGAGATAGCAATCGCTTCATCGTTAAAGATCACATTCCCACTCCGGCCCTGCAACAAGCTCATACCTACCATCCAGTACTGATTCAACTTCAGCAAAGATCACGGATCCATAAACGAGACAGGTCAGATCTTCTTAGCACAGCTTAGCAGTAGGAATGAGAATAAATCGGAGAAAAGGCTACTTGCCACTGCCTTTTGAGCAAGCATTGAGGCAGGAAAGGTCCTTTTCAAATGAGACCATGAATAGTCTTCATAAGGATGCGGCAGAGAGCTTCACAAAGTGGAAGGCAAAAAAAGATAGTAATCGGCCGATCAGGATATGACTGATGACCTGCAGCTGAAGAAATTTCTCGAGGAAGCGTGTCAGCAAAAAGAACAGCAAGAGCGTCATAAGTCGAAGGTGTGTAAACTTGGATATAACTTCGCCTTGAGACAAGTGCTTTTCCTCTCACTTAGCATTTCTTGCACTATCTTGATGATCGCGTTTTCGTGCACCGAAACCTATCCCGGCAGGATACAAAAGGCTGCTGAAATACGCGCATCGGACGTCTTCAGTAATATATCCGAGTTCCTCATTCTCCTATTACATGATACAGTAACAAAATCGGCTCTACTGGTGGACCTTGTTGCATTCACATCCACCCTAAGCTTCAAAGCGGGCCGGACTTTCTCATTGCCCGGCTTGTCCAACCAGCGGATTCGGTAGAAGGTACAGTGGGATACTTCAATGCCTTATGTCCAGCCATTTTGGCAGGTGTCCGCCATGTCCATTGCGTAAGAGCCAAGCCTGTGATGACACCGGGTGTTTTCAGTGATGGTGCAGTATTTGGGGACTTGACTCCCTTCAAGGAACAATTGACTGACCCAGTGCTGCAAGAGCTGTTAATGTCCGTAATGATTGGTAACTTAACCATAACCCTTGTCTACCGTTTAGAGACCCTCATAACCTCGTTACTAACGAGGCACATGTCTCTTTCTTAGGTACAATTGGGTGAAAGTGTATTCGCCGATTGAAAATCAATAAATTGGCTGTTCATAGCTGCAGAAAAGATTAAAAAACTAGATGTATTTCAATAATATTAATTAACCGGATACATGAGATAATGTATTTCCCCATAGAAAAATGGCATTTGCTGTTGACTTTCCCTCGCACAAAACTGGCACATTTACTGATATCTTTCCGCTCCTCAGACTAGAAGGTCTCTATGCTTAGGCTGGAGTGGGAGAAGGGGTGGTAGCAGACCCTTGAAAATAAGGATTCAAAGTATTGTTAGATGAATAACTACTCTGCAATAGCTTCGTTCACAATTCGCTCCAAAGAGCTACTCTTCTGTAGTATGATGTCGAATGAGAGTAAAATCAGCACTACCTCAAGAAATATTAAGCTCGGCCCCAAACGTTCGTATTAGTTCCTTGGAATGTGCTCGCAACAATGTTGAAGAGCGCTATCGCAAAAAGAGCCCAGGCTTTATCATTAAATGATGCGTTGTATCACCATTAACAATATAGTCCATATTGATGGTCCTTTTATAGTGCATCAGCAGTAATAGACAGAATTGAACGCGTTTTAGGTTTTATACATTTACTATATTGTCGCGTACCACTCATACTAAGCATTCCGTTACTATATATCCACCTACACATGGAGAAATTGTTGTTTGGTTTGTGGGTGGGTGATAATTTATTGATAAGCCGGCCATGTATGTGTTCCCTCGATGGCGGATGAACACGATCTATTAAGAAAGGGGGTCCCCGCGAGCCTGTTATCGCTTTCTTTGAGTGAAACCTATGAGCATAAAGTGACGGTGCACATGCTAGCTAGACGAAGATGTAGTAAATGATCGCAACCTCAACGGGCTCCAACTCGCTATTCTCCTGACACAGTCAAACCTTAAAAGCCATGCCGATGAAGCTGATCACAGTTTTTATATGGGGATGTACGTATGAGTCGGGGCCTTCTCATCTCGATAATAGTATCAGGCAATGCTTTCTTCGTCGAAGAGGCTCCACGGCCTCTCATCGCCGGAAACCCTCGATCCTAAGAGCCTTCTTGTCTTCCACATCGCCCTCTCCACCTCCTCCGCCCATGGCTTCATCGCCTGTATCCGCTCCTGCCGCTGTTCCCAGTATTCCAACATCGGCAGTAGGTCCCCTCCGCTCTCCAGCATCTTCAGGGTATCCACCTCCTTAAAAAGCCCCAGAAACGCATCATTACCCACCACCATCAGCTCCTCCAGCCAGCACAGCAGCGCCTTGACTTCCTCCTCCTGGTCCTGCGCGCGGTATCGTGTTGTCGGTGGCGGACTGAACTCCAGATAATGGGCTATATTTTTAACCTCGTCGTATGGGTGGCGCGAGCGGCGGCCCGTGAGCGTCAGCCAAGAGTGGAGACCACCCCAATGGACAATCAGGAAGCAGGCCTCCGCGAGCGTCTGGGTGTGTCTGGCGAGCTCAGCGCAATAGATCATGATAAAAGAGAGGACCTTGGAGTATCTCGTCCGCATGTCATTGCTGTAACTGATATTGTGCGTGTGAGACTCTAGAGGAGGAGAACTTGGGGGGGGGGGGGGGGAACTTACAAAGGCCATATTTCCTTTCCGGCGAAGCTGGACATGAGCTGCGCTATGATTGTGTTCTCGGATAGAATGCAGGCTGTTCGGAGGCAAAGGAAGAGGGGATTGAGATTGTTGACTTTCGGTGACTGTTCCCTCGTTATTGTGAGGGGTGTCGTGTTGTTTTTTTAGCGGACAAAGGTGAGGGGGGTATCTACATACCTATTGATGTTTCAATGTCTTTTCTTGATGAACCAATCTATACGAAGGCTGATGATCGATACATGTATATCTGAGTGAAAGATGAAGAAGAAGAAGGGAAGTGTCAAAATCTACGTAGATAATGGCACTGCATAGGACACTGCAACCGTTCTTGTAGCTAGCTTACTTTTGCTTACTAACCTCCCCCTAACACAACCACACCGCGACACCGGCTTTAACACTACACGACACATATACATGTAGCTATACATATGCCGACATATGCCGCGCCGACTTGGTTTGTCCATGATCTGACTGTAAAAAGCGAGAGATGTCCCTAAACCACCAAAACATATACCGCATGATTGTAGTATTTTCGACGCGAGTCGAGTCGTCCCAAGTCCTCGACTTGAGCTTTTCTCTCACACCCTACATTACCAGCTCAGGTGGGCCACCGGTCGAGTTATATCGATGGCTAGCTCGACTTGAGATAGCTTGAGCCATGTATATATTACTATTATTAAATGTTCGGGCCTAGGGGAGTGATTCCGGGCAATCGATATAGCTCTGATCAGCCGTTTCTTACGATTTTTGACTTTGATCGTACATGTACAAGAGTACTACCCGCAATCAAGCAGATATAGTAGGAGTTATCCTCTCAGAAATCAGCTCCGCTTCATTTTGCCTTGAGTTAAGCTTGAGAGCTTGAGATTTCTTGTCCCCGAGCACGAGCGCGCCCGGCCTTCTACCTGTTTCGTTGAAGCTAACTGTAGATTCACATTAACTCTTAGGTCCGGACCGAGTGTTCAGATTCTGCGGCCTATAGCTAGCTGGTCTACCGACGATTGCGATGGAATATATTCTATTTGACATCTTAGATCATTCTTATTATATGGGTAGATCGTCGGGTGAGGTCTGTCGCTATTGATGTGGAACACCGGGATAGCAATTTTGGGGGGCTCCGGCCGGTCACCATATGGAAACTGGAGCTGGGCTGACTTAGAGCTTAAAGTAGTTTCGTGGGGGTGGGGAGGCGAGGATGCGTTGGTCTTGTTCCAGCGCAGGTGTTTTCTTTGCGCGGACGAAACACCGCGGAAACATCCGATCGCATCATGGTGAATCACTCGCTTCACAGGCGCTCACTCGCATCATAGGACATCACCCGTTGGATTAGTCATCGGCGAGCCCCAGAATCGATTGTGGTGGTTTGATTCCGTGTTGTACGGTTGCGGACGCTGTTGGCCGGGTTCTTTTATCGTATTCTGTCTCTGTTTCTTTTCTTCTAATTTCGTCTTCGGCTTCACGACGATTCGAATGACAAAAATGAATAAAATCTTATTTATTGCCAGGGAGGAATCAAACTGAAAACTTCTCTGACGATACTAACGACGGATGATAATGAAACAGAAAGGAAAACAGCGAGCTAGCTATGAGGTCGTTCCACTGAGAACACCTTTACAAAGGGATTGTCCACGTTATCACGTGCTGTGCTGACTAATACATGACAAATCACTTTACAGCAAATGTGCCCAACAACGCCTGTAGCTGGAGTAGGTGCGACATTGGTGTTTTTTGGCTATCACTTTCCTAATCAAGTAATAACTTGGCACTTTTATTGCTCTTTTATGCCAAGACCTATCAATGATATTAAGAGGCAGCCAAGAGTTGCCTAATCCGGTAACCAAATACCCAACGCTCTAGAGCTATTGCCTAAATAGGCAACTTTGGGCGACATTCATTTGGTCTCTTACCAAAAAGCCAACTTTTAGAAATTCAATAACTCCACAACCATAAGTGAGAAAATTAATTGCACTCTGTCATGATGTAGAGTGGTGGCTAAAGCATCGTTTGACAGAGAGAAAATAATTTTAGTTATGGTGGTTGGAAAGTCATCACCCCCCAAAGGTTGAGGTCAAATAGAGTGCGGTTGTCAAGTGCAGATTCTGGCTGTGCTGTGCCTTGTTGAGCCGCACGCACTCATGTTCGCTGTCGCTGCGTGTGATGCGGGATGATGTCACTCCCGACAGATCAGTCCTCTCGCTTATCTGATCTGAGAGATAAACGAACCCCGCACCCGCACCCGCACCTGGGCAGAGCCTCAACTCTGCACGGGGCGCAAATAACCTTCTTGCAGTCTTTGTGTCGTGGGGTGAGCCCTGTAGCCACTGAAGAAAATTGACTCATTTGGGCATGAGGACGAGGGCCTCGGAGATTGAGGAGACCGGCCTTTTTCTGGGTAGGATACCGGGAGATCACTAATTCTAGACTGTAAGTATCGAGGGGTCGGAATGATAGGTCATGGTTTCCAACGATTCCAACAGCATTTTAGAGCATCAGGAACACTCTAGTCCCGCTTTTGTCAGCGGACTTCGCTAAAAAGAAAAAGAAAAAAAGACAGATATGGTGCGCCCACGCTTAAAGGTAGCGGATCGCGACGAAATGTCAATCGCCTAAGGCTTTGCCACGAAAAATGGTAAAAAAAAGCGGAAAGATAGAACTCTAGTTCAAGAGATGAAGTTTAGTTCTATCTTCGCAGATTTTTGATATCTGTCTGGGTTGAAAAGCCTTAGCAAGTTGAAATTGTGGATTTTTGTATGTAAAATGCGCCAAGACTGAACAAAGTGGAACAGTATTATACCCATTTATACCCACAGGAAAGCAAACCTGACTGATCCGTGGCAGTAATGCAGCAGAATGGCTAGAAATGGGCCCTCTTATTGGCCCATGAGGCCCTATTGCAGCCACAATTGTTCCACTTCCGTATGCCACCATATCACCTTTAAGAGTGTGCGCACCATATGTTGGTAAAAGGCTTGAGGTTTTAAATTTCGGAATAAATTGGGGAGAGACGAGACGACCTGACTCAAATTAGTTTGATCACGTCAAGTCCCGTTCCGCTTAAGGACGCCGGTAGTTTCAACGCCACTTCAAGTACAATCACCCCTTGTATTCATTAAACATCAAATCGGAAGTAGAGTGAGAGCTGTGAGATCTACGCTAACAACCTCATATCTTAGCTATGTACCCACGATCTCATAAATTCATAAACGCAGCTACGGAAAGCCCATTGCCTGTTCGGTGGATCTCCGATATTTGGCTATGATCCCAGATCTGTTGGCAATCACAGATTGATCGTTAGTCCTACCTTGAAGCTCCTTGATGGGACTATCTCGTTTTGGTATGGAAATTAGCCCCCTTCCCGAGAAGACTTCGGTATGGGACTAAAAGAAACAAAATCTGAGATATAATAGGCCCTTTGCGAGAAGGACTCCAGCTCCAAATTCCGGTAATCTGATTAGTGCCAATTCTCCCATCAATCAATCATAGAAGTAGAACCTGGAGCCAGCACTGTTTGTACAAGGGCCTAGTCAAGATGTCGCGGGGAAGCGGGCATGAACATGTTCTCTATACCACCGACAACTTTGCGGGTACTCCCGTTCGGATAATGAATAAAGGACATGTACTAGGCTATCAATTTACGAGGGTGGAATAACCTTTCATAGAGTTCTGGCTTGAAAGGCCTTTCGACAGCACAACGCTAGTAGTAATTGAAGCTTAATACCAGATTAACCACTGTGCTTTGGCCGGTGGGAAAGAGCCTGGTTCCTCTGATTTTCTCTTTTGGATTTAATGCGGCATTGCGCCTTGAGCGACAGGGTCAAATAAACCGCTAAAATTCAAGTTGGAACATGTCTAAGAGAGCTAGTCTCAGTGCTTGGGCCAACGTCCTTTTTATTAGCCTGGCGCGATGAGAAGGGGCGGATCAAACTTTATTACCAAATGTATACCTGCGGTAACTACATCTAGACATGAAGGTTAGAAACAAGGCTAACTGAAGATGCTGCCTAACTACATATCCAATTTCATGAAATTGCGTGCTCCAGCGAGAGCTTCTGAGGCGGCCATCCGGCTGTACTTGCTAGAGTCTCATGGTTTCTTAAGGCTCTCTCAATTATTCTTCGTATTTCACGAGGTGTATTGGGGTCAGCCAAGATTTCCTGAATAATGCATGCCTAATATTCGAGCCCCGTTAGCCATATACATTAATTTAGCGCATGTAACTGGTTATAAGTCGAGCAGAAACCTTCCTTGTGTTTCTGATGGTTGATATCGGCACCGGGTGTGCACCGGGTGTGCACCCGCGCGGAGAAGCGGGGAGGAAATTGGTACCGGGGAACTTAGTTAAAGCCGTGGGGGAAGACAAGCGTCTTAAGAGGGATGTGGATCGAACTTTTGTATGTACCTGCAGCTCTCAACTGATAGAAGCTGCTGGACGTGTCTTGGATAGAACTGAGACATGACCCAAAGAAAGGGAAGGATATAGCTATAGGCTAGACAATCAATTTTGGTTTTGATAATACCAACTTGTGAGTATTGCGGGCTGAGAATCATTGAATCTAACGTTACACGGCGTGTGAAGCAGGTATTCTCGAGAAATATGTCGCAACTGACAACGGGAACGAAAATCACTGCGGACAGAAGAAGTCTTCTTGCTGAGAATACGGAGCAAATACTGCATCTATAGGCAGCTGAGATAATCTTCTCTTTAGTTCTTCTGGACCTATTTTCCGTGCGATCTAGGGTCTGATTTTGATGGGGTTCGGTATCTTCGTTCTATAGGTACAGTAAACTATAACTCCCCTTTGTGGAAAAGCTCTGGGTTTCAGCGTTCCACTTCCATCCTTTCCTCTGCTGGTTAGCGCACATGCGCCTTTGCTAACTAGTATTCGTACTCTATGCACAAGTGTCAATATTTGTTTACAAGCATGAGCGATTGCAAACGCCTCAATAGCGAAGTCGTTGGATAAACATGTGCCATGCGGTAAGTTCCTTCGAAGCGTTCCAGGTATCTCTTATAAGCATAATAACGCATGTCTCTACCTAGCTTGGCATCATATCACCTCGTGCTTCCTATTCTTTTGTAACTAATGATCTGAGACATCACATACACGCACATCGCACTAGTGATCAAAGGTTTTTTCTAGCGTGCAAAAGCTTTGGATCAACCGAAATCACACAATCAAAGACATTATAAGTTGCTTTTACTTGGCATGGGTGAGGGATTTAGGGAGAAAATGTGCTCCATGCTGTCTTTAAGCTTTCCTTGCAATGGATTGGATACAAAAATGGATATCACGATACCAATCCGGTTGAAGTAGACTCGGAGCAAGTGAAATCCTTTAATGTTCAAAATCTCAGCTAAAGTACATGCATCCCTCATTGACTGGGGGCGTGCGCCAGGAAACGAGGATTCAATAGAATCCCATTCCACTATAAGGTTTCAAAGGCTTTAGAGCTGTACATCGGGGACAAGACGCCCGGCTTCCGGCAATGTCGCCCCAGACAGCTCAGGTCGGGGTGAATCAGTCTAGAGCTCAAGGCGACTCTCGCAGGCGAAAAAAAACAACCCTTTTCTCAGAGGCATCCAGCGGAGAAAGCCGGTCTGAGACAAAACTCTTTATTTTCCCCTGGACGTGGGACCCATCGCTATCGATTTAGAGTTTGTAAAGTTTTTTTAACCTTCGCCCGTAAGTAACTAAAATATTTTGCAGGTGCCTTGCGGTTAGGCGCTGAACCACACGCATAAAGAAATGGTCGGGTAATTCCGCAGCGAACAAAAGCTATGGCATTCAGAACTCTCGACGTGTCTAACCCTTATTTCTTGCAGGCAGGTGTGAGGGCTTCTTGGCGTAAATTAAGTTTGTGGATCTGAGACCCGCATGTTTCACAGCCACAGAATGAAGACATTGGTGCCTCTTGACAAATTTGAGAATGTTTCAGCGCGGGGAACAACGGCTACCACAAATTTCCTTGTTTACGTCCTAGAGGAGCGGTTCAAGCCACATGCCGGCTTGGTGTCTTTGTGGTGGTGCTAGACATGGTACCTGGTTATACTTTTTCTTATAGCTTGACACCAGAGGGTTTTACTTTCTGGATGCTTACAAGCTAATATATCGTGCGTTGACTGGTCTTGGCAGAATGTTTTTGTCTGCGGAAATGATCAAAATTGCGAATTCTGAAGGCTCACATTAAAACCTTAGAGGGGAGAGATGGGATCATATAAGAAGCTCTACTCTCCACACCAAAGGGAATTCTAACACATACCATCAATCCTCATAACTCAACAGTGCACCGCCGCACCCATCATCATAGTTCAACACTGCAACCATGAAGCTTCAGCTCCTCTTTGCTCTATTTCTTGCCACCGGTGCCGTCTCAGCTCGTGCACACGATAATCAACGTCGTGGGGGTAGCGGAGGGGGCGGAGGGGGCGGAGGGGGCGGGTGTCCGAAGCCACTTACAGTTACAGTTTATAAAACAAAGTATGATCTATTACAATGCCACTAGCCACTGTAATACTAATTTATGTAGAATTGTGCCTTCTATATACACAAAATGTACAACGATAACTACAAAGACCCACGGAACTAAAACCATTACAGAGACTACGACGCTTCCGTTAGCCACTACTACGGAGACATCGACTACCACAGAAACCTCGACCACTACGGAAACATCTACCACTACGGAAACATCAACCACTACGGAAACCTCTACCACTACGGATACCTCGACCACTACTGATACATCTACCACTACGGAAACCTCTACCACTACGGAAACCTCTACCACTACCGATACCTCGACCACAACGGAAACCTCTACCACTACGGAAACATCTACCACTACGGAAACATCTACCACTACTGATACCTCGACCACTACGGAAACATCTACCACTACGGAAACCTCTACCACTACTGATACCTCGACCACTACGGAAACATCTACCACTACGGAAACATCAACCACTACGGAAACCTCTACCACTACGGATACCTCGACCACGACGGAAACCTCAACCACGACAGTCTCGCAGTGTCCATGCCCTACTGCCCCTGTCCTAGATTCAGGTTTTGAACATCCAGCCGCCGTTGCAGGAGGAAGCACCCCTCTAGGGTGGTTTCAGGCCGCGTCTAACAGCGGCGCGGGCCAAATTACTGACAACAAAAAACACGACGGCCTCAAATCATTGTAAGTCTCTCTCAATATGCGGAAGTCTCCTCTGCCCTGACCGCTCTGTACTAACCACTCTACCATATATAGTAAGGCTAGCAGAACATCGAACAACAACAACTGGTATTATAAACTTGGGCAGAAAGTCTCCTTGTGCCCTGGAAAGCAATATACTTTGAATTTGTTCGTCCTAGGAACATCAACTTATTGCAAGATCCAGGTTCACATCGGGAGTGTTGAAGTAGTGCCTGAAACCAGAACGGATCCCGCGGGTGATTGGAGGCTGTTGACCGGCATGTGGGCTTCGACGGGTGATGCGACGTTGTATGTGACGTTCTCCGGGTGTCCATCGGGGGCGTATATCTATCTCGATGATATAACACTCACACCCGTATAATCATGGTCGTTCTATCTCGGGATGAAGACAGAATGTTCTCCCCTTTCTTTTTTCTCTTTTTTCTCTTTTTCATATATTGCTTTTCGGGCACGGGAAGTTGAGATATGTAGTAGATTTGGATCTTTCGCGGTATGACTTTTTTGTTTTAGGTTTCGCACTTTCTCGCAAAAGCAGGGTTCGCGTCGTTTTCCTGCTAAGCATGCGCGAATCCCGGCAAGAGTTGTCATGTATCGAAGATTGAAAGTGGGTTTGCAATTAGGGAAATGTTAATCCACCTTCAAAACTACTTACCGAGCAGATGCACCTTACTATGTGAAATTCATGTGAGAAGGAACATCCTGTAGCCCATTGGGGAACAGAACCCAATGGCTAGGGTTTCTTTAGTCAACCCAGGAAGGTGAGTCGAAGTACCTGGGGATATGTGTAGCTATGCATATCAAGTCAGTGTCAATCATCGCAGAAGTCTACAGCGAGCACGAATTATATGAAGATGATAGCTACTGCCTCTACCCTTGATCGAGTGTGGCTTGTACAGGGTCGAGGTGGATCTAACTGAATACATGCAGTACAGATCCCAGATGTACTGAACTCAACCGCAAATATTACCCCAATACCTTCGCGGCTTGTGGCATTAGGATCGTGCTAACAGGGATGTAACCAGCAACATAGGCCGAGAAACGTTGAAGATATAGATAACGGTGCTGCAAGTATGTAGTATCGAATGGCGTGATGTTTGATAAGATTTGAGAGGTTGCAATTGAACAATGCAATGCCGATCGCAAAGCGCAAGCATCGGATAAGGGCTTGAGCTGACATCCACGCGGGCCGACCGCGCACGTGGGTCGCTTTGCTTATATCGACGACGACGTCAAACATCTACATACACCATATACATGTACCTACATGATGTATGCGCATTACTAGATAGCACAGAGGCGATAGAGAAACGGGCAGACTCTGAAAGGGAAATGGTTAGGTCTCCCATATGATATTCGTTCCTCTCTGTTGTTGTACGAGCACGTCTGGAAAGGGGAGAGACCTCTGCATGTCCTAGTCGCGCTGCAGGCAAGCAACCATACAGCATCCCTCCCCCCCCTCCCATGATACGCCACCTAATTTGCTAAGGTGAAATTCGATGGCTGCACAACATGTGTGTTCCAGCGAGATCAAAGTGCAGAAATAAGCAATCGGTACCTGAGCCAGCTACTCTAGTTTTGACAACCCCTGAAGTCTTATCGGTCGCCCGTCGTCGACAAAGCCTGACCAAGGGCACAGTTAATTGTTTTGCGATTGAATTGGCAGCTTGGGGTAGCGACAAAACCTCACGTTGATGAACAGTATATAATAATTATAGTTATTTCTTGGTCGATTCAGAGCTGGTATGTACTCGGGCTAAATCGTAACATGTGATTGGTTGATATATCTGCTCCCCTCGTTTCCCAAAATTGCAAAGTCAACCTAACGTATAACCTATACGACTCACTACGAGAGAGAAATCTCTCGTAGATAGGCTAATAGAGTAGATGTGTAGTGCCTACATACTCTAGACACACACGGCGTCCCCGATCCCCCTGCGACTCGTCAATCAGGATATTTTCTACCCCTGCTAAAGTCGCTAAATCCAATATCCCGGGCCTCTCTTCTCTATCGGGGTGGGGGCGGCTCTAAACCGTACTCGGAAGCGCCATACCGCGCTAAACCCTTCTATTCTGCACGGGTACCACAACTACCGCGCCTCTTTTTCTTTCCTTTTGTGCTTTGGAATTAATTAGCCAGCGCCAGAAAGGGATGATAAAAACAGCGTCTCCTCCCAGCCCGGAGGTGGAGGAGAAGGAAGAGAAAGAAATATTCGTTCTCTACCGACTGTCGTTACAACAATCAGAATCATGAAATTTCCGCTCATTTCTGCGCTCCTGTTCTCGGGGGGTCTTGTGGCAGTACATGCGCATGATGATAGGCGTCCGGGGCAGTGTGCTAATACGGTCACTACGACGATGTGGAACATAAGAACGAGGTACATAAACATAGATATATCCGACTGAATACCTCGAGTGGCGGGATGTTTTGAGGAAGGTCTGACTGGATGGCGTGCAGGAAGCTCCCCGCGACAACAGTGACAAAATGGGTACCTCCAACTACTACAACGGTCACGAAAACGAGCACAAAGTATGTGCCTGGGCGTGATGTAGGAAAAACGTGAGTATATATACATTATTTATTAGCTTCCTCCCCCCACCGCGATAGGTAGAGTCTGTCAGGCTGATAGAGACCAGTGTTACCCTATATACGAGCACAAAAACGCATGTTGTCTCCACCTCCACCATCCCGGGAAGTATCAAGACTGTCACAGCGAACGGTGTTATCACTACTATCACCATTCCCACAACTGTCACGCTGCCCGGTGGTGTATCGACCACCACATTAACCACCCACGATGTATGTGACATCACGACCATCACCAGCTCGGAGTATTCGACAGTCACTGTACCGGCGACTACAACAATGACAATTCCAGGAGCTGGAGAGATTACAACCGTAACTGTGCCGACGACGGTTACGCTTCCGGGCGAAGCAGAAACCGTAACAGTCCCTACCACACTTACCATTCCTGGGGCCGGGGAGGTCACGACTATCACTGTTCCAGCAGAACCTACCACTGTTACGGTTCCCACTACCGTCACTATCCCCGGTCAAGGAGGGCTTACCACTGTTACTGTTCCCACCACCCTGACCATCCCGGGTGCGGGCGAGGTCACCACTATTACCATTCCCGGCGCCGGAGAGCTCACAACGGTCACTGTGCCCACAACCGTCACTCTGCCGGGCGAGGCCCAGACAGTTACAATCCCTACAACTCTCACTATCCCCGGCGCTGGCGAGGTTACGACTGTAACTATCCCGACCACTGTCGAGCTTCCTGGGGCTGTGACAACGTCCACTCTTACCATTCCAGGAGCAGGTGAACTCACCACGGTGACGGTTCCTACAACTCTCACCATTCCGGGAGCTGGTGAGGTGACGACAGTCACTGTACCCACTACCGTTGAGCTCCCCGGGAGTGTCACGACATCCACACTTACAATTCCGGGCGCGGGCGAAGTCACGACTATCACTGTCCCAGGGGCAGGAGAGCTTACTACTGTGACTGTCCCGACCACACTTACTATCCCTGGTGCAGGTGAGGTTACGACGGTCACAGTCCCCACCACTGTCGAGCTTCCTGGTACCACTACCACTTCTACTCTTACCGTCCCGGGTACTGGAGAGGTCACCACCGTAACAGTTCCTACAACCCTCACTATTCCGGGAGCTGACGAGGTGATAACTGTTACTATACCTACTACCGTTGAGCTCCCTGGCACTACCACCACCTCTACCCTTACAATCCCTGGGGCTGGCGAGGTCACAACCGTCACAATTCCTGGCGCAGGGGAGCTGACAACTGTTACTATCCCAACAACTGTGACTCTCCCAGGTGAGGCGGAGACAATCACGGTCCCAACGACACTCACCGTCCCAGGTGCAGGAGAGGTTATAACCGTCACTGTTCCTACAACCGTTGAACTTCCGGGAGCTGTCACTACTTCTACCCTTACTGTCCCAGGCGTAGGAGAGCTTACCACAGTGACAGTCCCAACGACACTTACTATCCCGGGGGCGGGGGAGGTTACGACAGTCACTGTCCCGACGACTGTGGAGCTCCCTGGGACTACCACCACATCCACTCTCACCATTCCAGTAGAAGGGGAGATCACGACCGTCACTGTGCCTACCACTATTGAGCTCCCGGGAAGCGTCACTACATCTACACTGACAATTCCAGGTGCTGGCGAGGTCACGACCATTACTATTCCCGGCGCAGGGGAGCTAACAACTGTCACCGTCCCAACAACGGTCACTCTCCCTGGAGAAGCAGAGACTATCACTGTCCCAACGACCCTTACTATTCCGGGAGCTGGAGAGGTTACCACCGTCACCATCCCAACTACTATCCCAACTACAGTTGAGCTTCCTGGCACTGTCACCACCATCACTATACCTGGAGCTGGCGAGATCACCACCGTCACCGCACCGGCGGAGCTTACTACCGTCACGGTACCTACAACGATCACTTTGCCCGGGGAAGAGCTGCTCACGACATTGACGGTGCCGACGACAATTACTGTCCCGACTACAATCTCCCTCCCAGCTGAAACGGTCACAACAGCTCAACCGACCACGGTCACGGTCACTGAGGAGGGTAAACTCACAACTAGAACTGAGGTCTCATCTACAACGATCACCGAGGTCTCCTCGACAACAACTACCGAGGTCTCCTCCACAACTACCACAATCCGGGAGTCTACCACTATCACTGATACTACAACTTCAACTACCACGATCGATAGGCCTACAACTACTACAGAGACACAGACGGTCACTAGTACTACGCTCCCAGCGTGAGTAAACTCAAATTGCTGCCCTCTCATTGTGTGTTTTCGCTAATATTGTTGTTCTTCAGTTCCTGCCCCACGATCTCTCCCCTACAAAATACCGGCTTTGAGAATGGCTCCCTTGGCGCCAGTGGGAATTGGGCCATCGTCTCTGGTTCTGGGTTCTCCTCGGCCAATACTGGCTTCTATTCCGGCGGCCAGCGCTCCGGCTCTCGTGCATTGTGAGTCGTCTTCCACCTAGCCTATTATCATCTGCTTTTTGCTAACCTGCCTGTCCGATAGCCGCGCACAGGGTTCTTCCACCAACTGGAACGTCGGGATAGCCCAGACAGTGACTGTTTGCCCAGGAACAAAGTATGCACTGAGCATGTGGGCCTTCACTCCCTCTGGGACAAGTGGAAACTGCGTCGTCACAGCTTACATTAATGATATCCAACTGATCACGATGACCCCGATGGCGGGGGCGTGGTCGGGTAACCAGGCAGTGTGGAATGCGCCGGCGGGAGTTAGCACCGCGGTGGTCCGCCTGGGATTCGCCTGTGCTAACTCAGGGACAACATATAGGATCTTTACGGACGATGTCCAATTAACGGCGTTGTAATCTGGCTTTGTAGCTTGGTGCTTCGTGTTTCATGTAGTATGGATATGGCGGTTTAGGCTTTGGTATTGGTTCGTATAAATATGATTAATTTAGGAAGCACATATAAATATATAATATTATACACATAACCGATCGATTCCTATTCAAAGTATTTACCGCTAGTTTAATCATTGAAGTATATTACGGTATAAGCCGTATTACTACTTGTCGAGCAGTTAAGAGAACTCATGCGAAACGATTCTACTAGGATGCAGGTATTTACCAATAGGCTTACCACGAAAAAGAGACGAGAACAATCCAGGCTGAAGCAGGCGGGGGTGTCGCAAGTGGAGAGTCATAGAACTGCCATACTGATTCCCTTTGGTGCATGACACTTATACTAAGTGATGTAAGGCCGCATGTGATATATGTCTATATCTGTGGTCTGTATTCATATCTCATTTTCCTAGGCCTGCTTAGAAAACCCACGCGTGGGAATTGCGATGCGAATTACTGAGTCATAGAGACATAATCATGGCGCTACAGCAGGGAAATGTGTTTGGTATTGCTAGTACTGAGATTGTGAGTACACAGCCTGCAGGGGAAGAGAGTGTCGGGCGACTATTTGTGCAGAGGATTGTGGATGCATGGAGTGTATATGAGGTGGGGGGTCGGTTTTTGAATGTGAGACCGCATTGGGCAAAAGAGTGGTAATTATGTCCTATTCTTTGATGCTGGTGTAGGATAGCTAACAGATTTTAGGGAGGATCTTACCATTCGAGGGGTGGAGATAAAGCAGCATTTGAAGGATAACTGCTATAACGTGGAGATCTCAAGTTCCCTGAGTGTACTTGCAGATATTGGGGACGAACATGGCTGGACGCTGGAAGGCCTCAATCAGCGGTTTTCTAATCCATTGCTCGATTCATTATTCTTCTGTTAGGGGCTCTGCATTGATGGCTATGGCTGGGATTGATGTCAACTCCTATGTTAAGCTTAGTTTTTAAATGAACGAAATCCGTGGTCTTTTTCCCTTTTTTTCTTCGTAGCCGTCGTTGCACTCGTATATAAGCAGGAGTTAATTTTAACCATGCATGAATCAATCACATATAGGTAGTGCTCTAAGCACTGCTGTGACCACGAGTTAAATCGAATCAAGCTTTCTGCGCGCCTTTCGCGTATGCTCTAGTTCTTTACACATGTGCGTATGCAGTGATCAAGCCTGTCGCGGAGACTGTATACGACCTCACCGGTGAAGCATGATAATAGCTATTATGAATGGGAGGATCGGTACATCTGTCAATTTGTATATTATGTGAACATTAAACCTAAAACAAACGTATAATGATCTCAATCCTAACTAAAACGTAGCATGCTCCACCATAAGTTTCAACAGGTCATTTCCCAGTTCCGGAATATCTTTAACAGTCATGGCCATCTCTTCTTGGTGCTCCGCATACACCTCTTTCAGCATACCTACCATTTTGGAGTTAAGTTCCGGAAAGTCCTTCACATGCCCAAGATTAAGTCCGCTCTGGTAAGCTTCTTTCCAAAGCCTCACACTCTCGATACCTTTCAGCCCATCCAGAACATTTGCCACTGAAACAATGGCTGCCTTTGATAGCTCCTGGCAGTCGTATTTTGATGCCACAACATAAACACCAATATGAAATATTCCCTCAGCACTGTCGACAAGAGGGACGTCTAAACTAAAAGATTCATCCTCGGAGACGTCTGGACTGGAAGATTGGTCCTCGGAGATATACGGGTACGTATAGTGCCCAGTATATAGGAACTCGACAAGCGCAGCGATGGAAGATGGATCGTCTTCGGGCATTAAAATCCGTTTGTGAGAGGCCTCGCGAAACTGACCGTTTAAAGCGGCAGTGAAGAACGGAAGGCGACACACAATTCTTTCGTAAACATGAAATACATCTGGCTTTGGCCCAACCAAGAGCGTCGCAATTGGTGACATAATATTACTATAGATGCGTTAGTAGAAAAAGCATGGGGTGTATGTGTAGGATTACCGTGTAAACTCTGATAGAAGCGCCGTATTCTCTGATGCTCCGGGATCGCTGGGCGCCTGTCTTTCATATTTGACCGCAGGGGATCTTTCCTTTCTTAAAGATTGCGAGAACACGGCTTGCAGGGACCTTATATATTCTGTATCACTAAATAAAGATTAATCATTTATTCGCCTGATCCTCGGTGCTCGAATGAAGATATACCAGGTTCCGGTGAAATAATGCAGGCCCAGAGTCTTCTTGATTTCTGGGCCCACTGTGAAGGACGATGAGCTCCAATTGAACGCACTTCCACCATTGCTGTACCCACCAATCGGGCCATATACATGTCCTACACGTACCGGCTAGCTATTAACAACAAGCATCAAACGGTACCGAAAGGAGGCAATACCTTTGTTGGTAGACAGTTTAAATTTGGATAGTGCACCGCCACTAAAATCACCTTCTAATGTGACGATATACTCACCGGGTGCCAAGGTGATCTCCGTCTTCGTGCCGCCTTTCCCGGCTCCATGTTCGATACCATTATCCTGATTATTGTAGTCGACCTAATTGTCCATCATATATATTAGACCGGAGCTTGATATACGTTATCTGCGCACGAGCAGCCAGAAACCAACTAACCTTCAAACAACCAATGAAATCATGATTATTTCTATATTGCCAGATGGTGATTTTTGAGATTTGCGGGTTACGGAGGCCGAGGTTTGATATCGTGGACTTGTCGCTGAAATGGGTTCCACTGTGTGTACTGCCGACATGATCGGTGGTAATGAGATGTTCATCTATCATGGCTGTCAACTTGTTATTTTAGATGCGCCAGGCGAGATCGATGTTGCGGAGATTGATTTCAGGCAACCATGCCTCCAGTGCAACCCAGATAGCAGGTAGGTCACCGGCCGGGTAACGATCAGACGTTGTGTAACGTCCACACACGCACAAAACACCGGGTTTCTGTGATTTTCTATCTTTTCCTTTCTCCATGGCTACTTTAGTATAAATACACGTAGTATACGCACGCGGCCACCCCGCTAATCAGATCAGTGGTGTTGAGTTAATTCATGTTGCCGTACGCGTGCGCGCAAGATCAATGGCAGTACGCGTGGACGTTACTGATATATAATTTTTCAATACTTATGTACTCAGGTTTGTATTTGCACCACATTGGCGATGTAAAAAAATGACAGTTTTATAAATTAAACATGCCGGAGGTCTTTCATCATAGATTATCACTCTCCTCTGAGGCTTGGCTCATGGAAGATCACTCGGCCTTGTCATCCTTGCAGCGGGTTGGTTTTTGGCTTCGATACCTACTTGTAAGATGCGACTTTTGGCGGATAACCCCCATGCGTGGGATAGATCATATATCTATAGGCTCTATACCTCAATTGACTTTGGTCCGGGGTTTTGTCTTTACCAAGGAGGTTAGCCTCCGGACACTGGTAGACGGTTCTTGGCATTAAAGTATTATGCATGCCAAGACCATGGCTTGCTCTTCCCAAAAACGTCTATCACGAGTACTTGCAATTGCTGCTGGAAATATGGATGGCGGGTTCTGGGCGGTTCTATACGTATACTATATGTCCTTCATGGACGTACGTACTCGATCGACCACCGGCACGCATGCGCCACGTCTTGGAGGTGACCACCATGTTGGGTCGACGAAGCCTAGGGTTCACATGCATAAGTTATCGACATTATATGCACGGTGGTGTGAGAATTGACCTAATGCGGACTGCATTAAGGCAGTACATGTAGTTTTTTCCTCTCTACTGCTAGTTTGCAATCCACTCTTTGTGCGTCGTCTCTCCCCTCACTTTTATAGCGTATCAGGTCATGATCAACTATGCCTGCCACTAATCTACGATATTTGTTCCGCATCTAAAGGCCATTCTTAATCAAACATACCCACATGTACACATCAATTACAGACGCCGCTTCTAGCTTTCCCGGATATCAAGGTAGAATGTGTACAGCCCATAAAGATATAGACTCTCTCCCTCTTGCTCCCCTTCATCCTCTCCCTCGTCCTCACCGACGCCTTAGCCATCTCTGCCACCAAGAACTCCCACACTGTGGACAAGCGCGACCCTAGAGCTAGTATCAAGAAAAACTTCACTGGAAATGGAGGAACCATTTGCCGCCCACCCAGCAGAACCGACCTCGGCTCCCAGCCCCTGGATGGCCGAGTGGGTAGGCTTCCAGGTGGCCGAGTTCTCCCAATGAGGAAATTCCCGAAGGCGGGCGAGGTCGCAGGTTCGAATCCTGTAGGGGGTGGTGACCCAGGGGATATTAATCGTGGGTTCTTTTCCTGGCTTGGCATGTGGGATGGTTTCTGCTCCTGGGGAGAGTTTTCCATGTACCCGGGGCCCAGATGGGGCATGCGGACTGGTGATGGAGTGTGGCTAGGTATGAGTGCTGGGTTTGAGCCGGTTGGGGTATTCCACATCCTGCTGAAAGAAGCAACCAGGGGGCATAAAGGGTGAAACCCTGTACTTGTACTGTAGATTGAGTGCTCCGCCATAACTGAAAGGTTGCATGCGAGTATGAATTAAACAAAAAAAACAAAAGACCTCGGCTCCCACAGCTCTCGCGCTGCGAACGAAATGGACCCTCGTGTTGGATGACCGCGATCGCTGTGGTGCTGCAGCTGGGGTTCTCGGAGCATGTACTGGTACTACGGGCGGGTACGATTGACACCTCCCCTAGAGTGCTCGCGCATCAATGAAGCTACCAGAGAGCGGTGATAAACAACCTGCGCACCGGAATCCGCTAGCTCGAGCCCAGTAGAATCATGTTGGGTATGATTTACACCGATTCCGAGAGGAATATTAAAGTGAGGAGCTTTAGGGAGAATATGGAGACAGTACTGGGTGTTGGTTTTGGTATGGGACAGGCTCTGGAGATGGCTGTGCTGTCAGCGGGTTGAGAAGAGGACGTCCGGGGGTGCCGGGATGGCGGAAGATGGAGATGCGAGATGATACGTTATACACACGGAGATCCTTGATATATAAGAGAACCCACACGCACACAAGATATCCTGCACCTATTGGAATAATCGATCAAGCAATCAATCAATCCACCGAACTGATTCACAGGTTATCAATTAATCGGAGCTTCTTGCCTTGTCGAACGCATCTTCTCGCTGCACCTCTTCCATTATTTTTTAACGCTTGTCGAGAACTGAACTCCGTGGTTAATGGCCGATTCGTGAGCGACCGGACCATTAGGAAGTTTGCACCTAGTTTGTCTTGGCTGTTAATTGTGCTACGAGGTGGCCGCTTGCGCTGACCAAGGATATAAACTATAATGGCGGATCAGCTGGGAGGTTGACAGTGTGTATCGAAAGTTATCAGCACCATGGATTAAAGTCTAGCCACCTATTGGGTTTCTTTTGTCTACCCGGGACTGTATTTTATGTATGTATGACTTTACCCCTTTCCCAGCCTCGTGATCTCCATGAGAAATAGCCATAACACGAAGACCGTTAGCACTAGGTAAAACCATCATAGACTTACGTGCATTATAGGTAGATTGGGTTTAGACATAATGTTAAATCAGACCGATAATTGTTTCGGAAAATCTGTTATTCCGTGCACGTTCACTGACGACCCAAAATTAAAACCGGGTCACCACGGGCACGGCAGGAAGGTCGCGCTGGCAGAAGTTGGCGCGCTGCGACGATTATCCTGCGAGTGCTTCATGGTGCATCACTCGGCAACTAGCCCTTGTGTTAACTTGCTAAAGCCATTTATTTGATCAAGACTACTTTGAAGGAGGTGCATAGGTACAAAAAAAATTATGAAGTCTTGGGCCAGATCTTTAGCTTCTAAATGAGGGCGCTGAAACACTTTTCGTAGCGACCAGATCCAGATAGCCATACAGGATTGGATCGCTCAGACCTCCGGGTGATCGTGGATTCGGCGAATTCTTTCCAAACGTGCCTTGAACGGGCATCAACAATGAATACCACTCATTGGAAGGGCCCTAAGGGTGTTCAGCAAGATGTTGCAGCAGAAATGTTTCGAGCAGGCCGCACAAGGTTGTCGAGTGATTACTTGTATCTCGGCTATGATAACAATTCCTGGCGCCCAACTTAATCGATCTACACGTACGTACTAGTGTGATTTCGATAAACCACTCTGTCTGTTCCCCCGATTCACGGGGCGAGTAAAGGAAAGGTGTTATCAGTCTGCACATACTACTGTGGTCTAATAGAAATTTAAAGAGTTGGGATTCTCGGAGAGTTAAGTAGTTCTGAGAGATTCTGAGACAGGCAAGGGTTATACGCGCGCATAGGTTTGTATGAGGTTCAGAAAATCAAAACCTCACCTCTTCATAGGCCTCTGCGGATCTCTGTTCGGTGGTTCTTTTTCTTGTTTGCACATGCTGTAAGATTGTCCTACCCCGAGAGAGAACAGATCATTGAAGGCCTCCTTGCCTCGCCCGCCTAGCTGAACGGAGAACTATCCCCATCTTTAAGGTCTGGAGCTTGATGATTCGGCCTGTTCTGAGCCGCATTGCTTGTAAGGCCAACACACGCCTTGTCAGCCCCGCACCTTATGGGAGATATATGTAGGCCCGAAGGAAAGATCCGGAACACGAAACGTCGTCTTCCCTAACATACCCTGAACGAAATATTCCAGTATGGAGACTCATTCCGCGATAGGGGACAATAAAACTGTCCGAATTTCAAACATCCCAATATCGATTTCCCGTACTGCGCTTCAGGAATACCTTAGAGAGCTAGATAACTCATTCGGCATCATCGCAGAAGACAGCAGTGGTCTCTATATATCGCTGGAACCTGACGCTTCGGACGAAGACTGCCAGCGGCTCCAGGTGGCAACTGTGACATTATCCAAGTTGGTTCACGTTCCCTCTGGTCTGCGCCTAGGACCACCTGGAGACAAATTTAGAGGGGAAGTGGACACCCATTTTCGAGGACTAACACCGCTCAACGACCCCAAAGACCCAGTGATTGAGTGCATACTACTCACGCCTTTGTGCTATGGTATTCTATGACTGGAGCTAATTCTTCTTTTAGTATCATTGCTGTGACTGGGCTAGCTGGACATGCCTTTGGCTCATGGAGGTCTCGGGGGAGCCCAAGAATGTGGCTGCGAGATCTGCTTCCGAAGGATATAGAGGACAACGGCTAGAGCGCAAGGGTTCTTACCTATGGCTATGATACAACCCTCAACGGAAGTCGCTCTTATGCCGGGGTGGGTGACCACACCAAACAATTTGTCGAGGCGGTCAAGGGAGCCAGGTGTAGGGTAAGGAAGACATCCGCAATTGCAGCAGGTCCACATACTTATATGAAAAAGGACCCTACTCGACCGTTAATCCTGATCGGTCACAGCCTCGGTGGTTTGATAATCAAAGAGGCGAGTCCACCAGTCAGATCATATATAAGTATATAAATGACTATAGCTAAACGGGTACAGGCCATCGTTCAGTCTTTTGAAGGAGGGCACGAAAGTAACCTACGCTCTTGTGCTGGTATGATATTATTCAGCGTCCCGCATGGAGGGCTAGCACCGAAGGCTGGTTTGATCTCCATGGTACGTGGCCAGCCTAACGAGAACCTGGTTTTGAACTTGCTCGGAAATAGTGATTTCTTGCGTAGACTCGACAAGTCCTTTGGCTACCAAATCAATCTTAAGATCTTAGGGGAATGGGCTCTAAAATCATATCTTTTTATGAAACAAAGGACACCAGAACGGTCCGGGTAACCTTCGCCCCGCTGTTGGTTGAAATGAGGGGAAGATCTGATCATAATATTTCTCTGATCTAGGAAGTAAGCCCCGGTGTTTGGGCCAGATGTGGGCACCACGTTAGAATGGTGACAGAAGAATCAGTTAAGCATGCTGCACAGGATGGCCAATACCTTCCGATGGAGGCCGATCATTCTTCGATTGTGAAGTTTACAAACCGCTCCGATCAGCATTATCAAATTGTTCGTCGCAAGTTGTTAGAGATCGCCCTTGAGATATCAATAACCCCACCAAAAGGTACCTTTCATTATTCTATAGAACAATATTTCAAGGTATCATCCCCAGCTTTATTAATGCTAATGAGTTCGCAGTTTCATGTGAGGAAAGAATAAAGATTTGCCACTGGCTTTCTTTGGGTCCATTCGACGAGAAGCATGTTGAGGTTAGCGGTAAAAGACAGGAAAATACTGGCGGGTGGCTTCTCGCTCATCATCAATTTATATCATGGATAGATAACTCAGGGCCTCAGCTGCTATGGGGCTGTGGAATTCGTAAGTGGATTGTTTCTCCTAATTATTCATGTCTGACGTGACCCCTTTAAACCTACATTTTCAGTATTTCTTTTTATTTGAGTCGGCTAACGGTGAGGTACTAATAGCTGGTGCCGGAAAGACATTCCTTAGGTATTTACCCCTGCTTGCAATTTTTTCCATCCCACTGACAGCTTTTGACCAGCTCCCTTGTGATCGATGAGCTTGAAATCAGATCAATCAGATGTACAAGCATTGGCGTAGCCTATGTTTACTTTAACTATAAGGATCAGAACCAACAAATGCCAGTTACGATTCTCCGCAGCCTCATCAAACAGCTCATAACCAGGCCTCACGCATGCGCACTAGACTCTCCTATCCCTCAAAAGGTTCAATCGCTCTATAATAACAATTGTGCAGCGGAAAGCACGCCAAAACTGGGAGATTTGCGAGATGCTCTTGTTGAGAGCCTCAAGTTATTTACGCAGACTTTCTTTGTGTTTGATGCATTGGATGAATGTCAGAAACACGTTCGCAAAGACCTGTTGCCATTGATCCATTGGATTGCGGATAGTGGGACTAGAAGCCGTCTTTATCCTCAAGATATCCTGACTTCCCTAACCTCAACCGATTCCAACCGTTACATTCAGAGATTGGATATTGAGGCCAAGGAGGAGGACGTCATTATTTACGTTGACAAAACAATTCAGGAGCACATTAAAGCTCGAGATCTGATCACGGGCGATTTCAGAGCAAAGGTCATTTCCAGGCTCGTGGGCGCATGCAAAGGAATATAAGTTGCCAGGCCATCATCGACCTTGACCAAAGATCACCGTACCTGCGGGGGGAATGATACTCTCTGGTTTGAACTGGAACTAAATTGCCGTGTCAGGTTCCTACTTGTGCATTTCTATCTTGAAGACTTATGTCAATACCGACGACAAAAGAGATTCGACGCGCGCTTGACGGCATAAGCTCAACACTCGGGACGGAACGTGCACTGAATGGAACCTACAGCAGAGCAATGGATAGCATCCGGGCACAGCACGGGAGTCGTGTCACACTCGCCCTAAGAGACCTGACTTGGCTTCTGACCGCACATCGTACACTTAGCCTTGGCGGGTTCCGTATGGCTGTTTCGGTGGGCTACAGGAGCCGCCTGCTGCATGGAGATGCCGATACCGGTCCGTTCGACGAGGGAGATATTCCGGACGAAGCATCAATTTTGGACGTGTGTCGTGGGCTAGTGATCATCGAACATGGCCATTATGCTCATACCATCAAGTTTGCCCATTACTCTGTTCACGGGTATCTCGAAAGGACTGGTGCAATTGGAGGTTTAGCGAAACGCCATCTTACGGTTGCTCTCGGCTGCCTGGGGTTTGTTGAGTTGATTAGCCTCATGGATCCGGAAGGAACATTGTACCGCAGCCTGTCCGGGCGGCAGCGTTCTGACTTTAGTGATGAAGATATAAAATTGTGGGGCTTCCTGGAGACTTGGCAGTATTGTGAATTTATGGGATACATCAGGAGTAACCTGCACAGGCACATGCAGGCCTGCCATCACATCGCCCATGACCACACAGATGCCCTGCTCGAATTCCTGCAGAACACGCACCTACTAAATTTTCTTGGTAAAATTCAACGAAGTATTGAGGGAAACTACTACGTGCACATTGATGGCATGCCTAGGCCACTGCATGAAGCAACAGCATGGGGAAGTATTATCCTCGTCCGTCAACTACTGGATGACTGGACCGACATCAGCACCCACAATTCGAGCGATTGTACGCCACTCCATATTGCTGTTAGGGGAAATTTGGTAGATCTAGTCCAGTTTTGGCTCGAAAAGGGCGCTGAAGTGGGTGCGAGGCACATTTTCGGGGAAACACCTCTCCTGCTCGCAATCAAACAAAATTCGATAAGTGCGGCTCGAGTACTACCTAGCGGGGACGCAAATTTAGTGAAAGAAATGCTTAGTCTGGATATATATAAGATGACCAATAACAAAGATAGGCTAAAGCTTCTGTTTGAGTTTGGGCTAAGCGTAGAGCAAAAGACTGAGGGTCGGACAATGTTACAAAATGCCGTATGCGGTCGTGATAACTTTACTCTTGTTCAATTCCTGCTCCAGAACGGCGCGAGAATCGACGCTCATGGTCCCGAAGGCACTGCGCTGCATATAGCTGCGAGGAAGGGCTACGTGGATATACTTCGGTTGCTGCTGAGCTACGGGACAGGCAGGGCGTCGACGGGAAATGTGCCTTGTAGTGATGTTCGGGCACCGCACGCGCGTGAGCAGGCTGATCCTATAAATGCGCGAGACTATGATGGCCGCACCATCCTATCCTATATATTCTGGGATCCCAACCTCGTGAGGATGGTGCTTGATGCTGGTGCGGGCATCTATATTCTAGACGATCGCGGAAGATCCGCATTACACCACGGCGCCCACAATAACGCGAATGCGAACGCTATATCACTGCTCATAGAAAAAGGTTTAACCTTCGAGCCACGGGATAAAAATCACCAAACACCGCTACATTATGCAAGGGGCGACCCGGTTGCCCTATTGCTTGAATGGGGCGCCGATGTAAATGCCACAGACATGGACAGAAATTCGCCGCTCCATTGTCGATTGGGGATTTAACATAGATACCTAACCTGGTGGGACAAAGAGCTAATCGATGAGGATGTGCGGGTCTTGCTAAGAGCCGGTGCGGACGTAAACGCACGAAACAGGAGCGATATGACACCACTCCACTGTGCGGCAAGGATGGGACGCGCGAGCCTGGTAAACCTACTGCTGCAAGCTGGGGCGGACATTCAAGCTCGAGTCATCAACCAAATGTCAGCAATGCATCATGGTGCTGCGATTGATAGTCCAGATACCATACTGGTTCTCATGGAGAAGGGTATATCGGTAAGCCCCAAGGATAAGGATGGATATGGATATACACCACTAGGGTACCTAGTTAACCACGGCTGCATACGTGGGGCAAAGATGGTGATTGAGGCGGGCGCCGATGTGAACGCTGTTCACATGGATAAATTGAGTTTATTACATCTAGCTGCTAGAAGTAGACCGGAGAGCGTGGGGATCATGGGTTTGCTCTTGGATGGCGGTGCCGACGTACACGCCTGCGACGGGAAACAAAGAACACCGCTCCACCACGCAGTTGAGGATATTGAGACCGAAGAGGTGGAAGAGAAGATAAGACTCCTTATAGACAAAGGCGCCGACGTAAATGCCAGAGACATTGATGGAAATACCCCACTCAACCACTCCATCCATTTGCTCTGGGAAAATGGGGCGCGCATATTGATTTCCGCGGGTGCTGACGTAAACGCTGTTGACAATAATCAAGTGAGCTTATTGGACCTGGCTATGCAGAACGGCTGCGGTAGAACTATGGCCCTTCTCCCAGACGCTGGTGCGAACATACACGGCTACGACGGCGACCAAGAAGCACCGCCAGGCACCGCCCCCAAGGGAGGATGGGAGCCCGACATTCTTGAATCGATGGTTGATCGTTGGTTTGAACACTTCTCCGCCAGTCAAGTGATGACGGAAGATCCGGGCGAAACAGTGTCGCAAATTAATGACGGGTCTTGTGGCGACGAAGCTGCTGATCAGGGCCCGGGAGAAGAGCTCGGGAGGAAAAGAAGACATCCGACTGGTACATCCTCAGCTTCAAGTTCTATCATGCATTGATATGATGATAAATGAACAAATTTACTCACTGATAGCGTTTAGCATTTCCACCGCATACGAATTAGTGTCATCCGTATCGACGATTTCAATGTGGGTTTTGGTTTAGGAAGGAAGCGTGGGTGGCTAGATTGGGTGGTTGCCAGGGTATTTGTTTTCTATTGCCAAGAGTGTGGTTTGCCTGTACTCGTGATTCCCGAATTCTTACAGTCTGTACCTGTATTTAAAGAACCTACTTGAACTCCCTTAGATTAAAGAAAAACCTCTTTTCAGGCCGGGCAGCATCTCAATAAACCCGTGGTAACTTGGTAACGAGGCACCCTTCTCAACAACATGCAAAAGCTCACGGTTAGAAACAAAAATGACAACCCTCAACGAAGAAACATAGTGAAAATTACGAATACACTCTACTACATGCAGTGACTTCATTTACCGTCATATATGACCTCCATCATGTCTTATAACAATAGATGTCCTTCTTGGCATCCTATCTATATAACGATACAACCTCACAATCTATACAAGAGTTTATGGATCATGAGTGATCACTCGGAATCACCAAGCATGTGTTAAGAATGTAGACTGGTGTTGATCGGTGTCTCTATACGCCCATATAACTCTTAATATACTGGATGATGTAGCTATTGACGTCATCTACAATTGACACCATAGTGACATATGATAATTCATAGTGACAACCACATATTTAAGGCTAGGCTTGGAAGCAGCATTTCAACAATATATGCAGCTCAGTAGTTTAAGTTACAATTGACCTGTAGTGTAATATAACGGTGTGTTTGGAGTGGGAACGTCCGGATAACCCTATCAGTGGTAGGCTTAAGATGAGAAGATACGTTGTATTCTTTAAACTGAGTCTTCAAGATCTCGAGATAATGGCCTAGTCTCGTCAAAGTCTCGGGACTTTATGGTTTGTGGCAGCGGTGAATCTCATTGAAGAAGTCTCCGAAGCTTTGGAACTCAACGTTTCGGGAGTGGAACATCCCACAATTTGAGATGAAACGGTTTAGTTTTCCAAAGATTCCGGAGAGACATTAGCAGATGTTGAACATGGGCTTTGGGATAGGTTGACCTGTGCGTGGTTTGACGGAATAAAAAAATGAGTATATGAAGTGGGAGGAGACATGTACGGGAGTTTCTGCTCTGATTTCCGCTAGCCAACCTCTAACTCAGTACTAGTAGGTGATCAATATCCGTCAGTAGCTCGACCTCTCAACTATCAAATTTCAGATACTATGGACAAGCAGGTAAAAATTAGGTATTTCGAGCGGAAATTCCCGGAAGTGCTGGGTGTGAGGGAATAGAGGAAGAAACGCCCTCCTTGAATTACCTGCCGGATTGGGTGCGCTCATGCTAGAGTTCTCGGCACCCCTGTGTGATAGTATTTTGCGTTATTGGCTACTGGTGCACGATGAACCTCTCTCTACTACGGTTATGAGACTTTGACTTACGGGCGACGGCGTAGGTTACCTCGAAGGCTCGGTAAATCAGGAGAGACCCTCGCATAGGTTGCTAAACCGGAACCACACCTTGCGCTGGTTCCTCTTTTCGTGTGCTTGTTTATATCATGTGGATATATGATATGGTTTCTAGGTCAATTCTGCTCGCTTTAGACTCATTTGCGTGTATATCGATAGATTGCATCACGAAAACTCAATATATATACCGCCGTGCACTGATTATAATATCATTGGCAGCAACAACTGGCGCCAAGCTAACCGTGTTACCCCGGATCGGACCGCCAAATGCGTGTGTCGGAGATCAGGAGCATTGTCCTCTAGTACTGACCCGCCGCAAATTATTTAGTGTAGTCTTCAATGGGGCTCCGGTGTGTTCCAGATTTTGATGAATCATTGGAAAGAGACTACGACACTGAAGGGGTGTTATGAAGCGACGATGCTTTCAGGGGTGTCGGATGGCCTTCTATATCACCCAATCTATTACGATGGAATTTATCAACTCGCCATATCATCACAGACGATAATCATCGGCAAATGTAACATCTACGTAATGTGCTTATAATTACCGCAGTACTAATATCACTCTTACTACCTAGAGAGCCGGTAAAAAGACATGGCAGTGGTGATTGTGAGGAACACTCAAATATCTGGATTGATAAAGGATAGCAAAATTTAGGACCGGTGGTCGCGCTGCGGACACGTTGGTTACATACCGCTTCGCAAACATACGAAATCTTTGCTTTATACTTATGTTGAGATGAAAGACTAAGGCGATCGAGACAAAACAAATATGGAGGTATCAAAACAAAAGAAACTGATCTGACAGAGATATTATAATAGAGAGAAAGCAGCCAAAGACAAACAAACTCCTTCAATAGCTCCAACACCACTGATCCAAAACTCGCTCGGCTCGGAAGACCCTAGAAGTGTGGGAAGTAGTCCTCCCATGGGGTGCTGTCAAAAGAGCCATATGGAAGGCTTCTAAGACTCAGGAATGACTCTATAAATAGATATAATCGCCCAACCGGAACAGCCAGACAAATGATAAATAGAGGGGTAAATACAAGTACAGAAAATGTTCTTTTATATATTTCCCTTATGTTAAGGTTTATACCCATTATATGTACGCGGCCGACTCCATCGAAGAGATTGAGCATTTTGAACATGAATAGTGTTAATACATTCCAAAGAGTGTCATGATCGCCGTTATCCAGTGTAACGAGAAACAAAGCATACGCGGGGACGACAGCAATCACTACTGAGGAGATTCGCCAAAGCAGGCGTTCCACGGGCGATGGGAAATGCGTATTCCAAGCAGCTGCATGGCAGGCGCCGTATGCAAGCAGAATGAGGATGGCAGGGAAAATGTTTGAGACATGTATGTCGTCCAGGATATCGCCCTTACGATCGCTTTGAAAGGAGATGTGGTTTAATAATTGGATGTCAGGACGCCATTTAGGTCGCTTGCCGACTTCGTAAGCTTTGGCAACCCGTGTTAAAAAGTCGAGGTCATCGAAGGGCATCACACAAGTCCTCCAGAGATCCGCATCGTTGTAGACACGGACAGATCCGAGGTCGAGCATGTGGCCGTAGGGGATTACCAAGCGTTCAGGATCGGCGACTGCGGGTGCGGTTGGGCGATGATTTTTTCCATGTATAATAGACCGAGTAAGCCGTGGTAATATCCCCAAACCAGGAAAGTGGACACTCTTTGTTGTGGGTAAAGGACGATGAGATTGGTAACTCGACACTGAGCCTACATCTCGTCATGGATATGTCAGCTACATGTATAAACGTATATATATAGCGCCGGCAGAAAAGGGAAAATCGCAAACCTCGACGGCTAGCTCGCGATGGTAACTTGGGTAGAAAGTATGTACGAGATATTGCACTCATACACATATATATACATGCCTCGTAAGTTTTCAATGTTCCCCTTCAGCCTGATCTTCAAGGAATGGCCTTGGTAGCGGTGACTAATTCGTTTCATGCTCTCAACGTATAACTGCATCGGGTCGCTAACAGGGAAAACAATATTGGCGGGTATTGGGAGCGGCTCGCCCACGTCCTGTGGCTTATTGAACCAGAAAATGTACATCCCCATGGCGCAGATGACATGCATCGCGACGTGAATCTCCAGCAGGGTGACGGGCAGACCGCTAGCCTTGCGGACAATGCACTGCACGAGCATCCACAGTGCCTGCAAACACACCAGCGTCTTTCCCAGAACCTCCGCTTTGCCTTTGTCCTGGACCTCACGATAATGCACAAAGTCTTGCCTTAAAACCATCTCCGCCACCACCTCCTCGGGTTCCCTCCCGACCGGGGCTGCATCAAGACTCCCTGGCTCTTCCCCCCCGATGCGCATATATCAGGATCCAATCCAAGCAACTCTACTGCTTCTCCCGTCTTGGCTGCTTCGACCACTGCATGCGCAGTCCCCGGCCTTAGTAATTTCTTAAACTCTTCCACCCCAAGTAATTCCCCTTTGGTGTTTGTCCGTGCCAGCTGGAGGTAAGCATCCGCGCTGAGAATATTTTCAAAGCTGGCTGGTACTTTATACGTCGGTACAAATGAGACCCCGCCCATAGTCACGAAGAAAGCACCCTTCATACGGAGAATGTCTTCCTTGCTGCCGGGCTCTATCTCATAAAGGTCGCACCACTCCCGGTGAAAACATCGCGCCGTCCACCACTCGTCGAAGGCTACTGCGAGCACGAGCTCTGGCGCCAACATCCCGATGAGGACGTACGAAAGCCTATGTTTCACCTTCTCCCAGGCCGAGGCGTTCGGTTTGACGTTGGGATGGATGGCTGTCCAGACGCATAGACCAAGAGTCAAGACCGAGGTAAGGATGATGCTAAAGGTTCCCCGCCCTTTTGGCTCCTTCTTCCATCCCGGGTCTGCGACGGGGGTGACGATGGCGGTGGTGTTTGGAGTAGGGGCCGCCAGGGAATAGGCAGCCTGCCAGGCGAATGAAGCTAGAATGGCAGCGTTGCCCATTGAATAGCTTGACCCGTGATAACCACTGCGCGGTGACAGGCTCGATTACAACTGACCAGTATAGTAGGGTGTGTAGATGCCTAATTAACGCTGGCGTGATCCTAAATGCTGATAATTGTATCCCGTTCGATTGGATTACTATGTGACTTTATGTAAGTCAGTATCTGTCTTGAAGTAGGTACGAAACTTGCAACGGCAGGATGCCATGGTCCCCTTCTCCATTAATCTTCAGCTACCCGGTGTTCTTGCATTTGCTCCACAGTCTGAAAAACATTTACGACATGTCAGGGAAATGACACAGACCTTGAAAGAATGACCACTTCGAGTTTGTGAGATTTCGACAACCGACGCAAACCTAGGCAAGCGGCGAGGATGTGCATCCAGGGAGGATATATAGGCAAGATTCGACATTTGCTGTTCGCACTCAGTGCGCACAACCCCGCCCCCCGTTCTTATCCCCATGTGGCCTATCCTGGTCCATGCACCTTAAAGATAGCCACAGCTCAAATTAAAATCTCTCACAGCCAATCACTTGGATCCTCACGTTCTCTACTCTACTCGTTTACGAGTACAGCTTGCGGTAAGATTATTGTAGAAATATGGGAGGAGTCCTATTGGCTTGCCCAGCCACAGAAACCCTGTAGAGTAGGTGATTTCTTGGCATATATGCATGCAGGTCTTTCAATTGCGGGCTTTGAGCGCAACTCCAGTAGAGTAGAGTAGATAGTCTACTCTAACTGGAGAAGTTTTTCTAAACGCGAAGAGATCACCAGCGCTTAACTCCTCTTCCTGAGGAGATCCCCTGTGACTTCCGCACTTACAGGATACCGCAATTTGTCCCTTCTCCTTGGGCTGAGCATATATCTGGCCACAAGCTTTAAATTGGAAAGGGCACACCGGCCATTCGGTTCTGCCTGGTTATCTGGGTTTCGGTGATCGGTTTATTATATATGCTCATAGGTATCACTGGGTCGTCAAGACTGATATGATCATGTATGTTTTGCTTACATTACAATATAGGGTAGGGTAATGAGCAGGTCTCGGCCTACCTGGCAACAAAGTGCGAACGAGGGACTTGGCGTGACAACTCGCTTGGCATATGCATGCATATGAAACAGTATCGCGGCTATGTCGAATGAGTTGTTAGAAGTGCACGCCCAAACCGGGATAGTGGTGCAGATGTGGGAATGGCGCCAATCAAAAAGTATGTATGTACAGCGACGGGTAATACCGCAGAATCTCAGGAATAACGAATCGAACTGGGCTGGAATACCACTTACCCATTGGTCAAGACGACCAAAAGTTACGCTTTAGGTCTGTTGGATTGAGGCTCAACAAGCATTTGACCAATCCGAAGCACAATATTCCAGTCCAGTTCGATTCGTTATTCCTGAGATTTTGCGGTAAGTGATGGAACACGCTCGCCTCATCAAATTTCCTGAAGCTTCCGAATACTGTAGAGTCTGTAGTAATCCTAGTCAACTGGCCAATACTGAACCAAATCAGGCCGCAGCACTGTCAAAATGATTGTCCCGCAATCACCTCCCAAAATCAAGCAGCGACTCCGGGTTGAGACCAATGATGCTCAAAGGTCAAAGGTTATTACTTTGTTTGAACTCGGACTCACCTATAGTGAGATTGTTGAGCGGACAGGATTGAAAAAAACTACGTGCTGGAATATTGTGAAAAGGGATAAAGAGAGACGTGTGCCTGGGTGTTTGACACCTTATACAGCTAGTGCACCTAGGAGTGGTCGACCCGAGAAGCTAAACAGAAGGGAAAAGAGATATTTAATCTCACTAGCCAAACGCAGCCGTCGCATGCATTTGAGTAGTATACTCACGAAAAGTCTTACTACGAAGATTTCAATGAAAACAACCCGCAAATACCTCAAACAAGGCGGCCTACACAAGCGAAGAGCGAAACGGAAGCCGTTCCTGTCAAAAACTCACAAACTAAGACGTATGCTCTGGTGTAAGGCACACAAACACTGGACCATGGAGGATTGGGGGGAGGTGATTTGGACCGACGAATCGCGATTTGAAGTAGGATTTCACGGTGGCACATGCTGGGTGTGCCGAGCACCAGGAGAGGAGGATATGTCTGAATGCCTATTACCTACTTTCAAAAGTGGACGGACATCTGTTATGATTTGGGCGTCGATACAGCTAGGAAACAAGGGTCCAATGGTGATTCTCCCTACCGGTGGACTAGGCGGCAAACAGTATGTTGAGTTAATCGTCGAACCGGCGCTACACCCCTTCTACAAGGAACGATACAGAGCTACACATGAGGCAGTAGTAATGGAAAATGGCGCACCTCCCCATCGTTCTAAACTAGCACAAGCTGCTAGAAACCGACTACATATCCAAAAGCTACCTTGGCCAGCACAATCACCTCACCTCAACCTTATCGAGAACCTATGGCGAATAATGAAAGCCCGAATCAACAGGAGAATTCCTACTATTACTACTGGACCCGCATTGAGGCAGGCGTTGCAGGAGGAGTGGGATAGGTTCATACCCGAGGACTTTAGAAGACTGATAGAAAGCATGCCAAAAAGGGTCAAAGAATGCCTCAGAAACAGAGGCGGGTCTACACACTACTAATCTCACCTACCCGTCTATTTATCCCCTGATACGAACTGTTTTTCTCTTTCACTCGTATTATTCTGTTTTGTATCGCCCGTTGAAGCTGTGTTGCCGAGAATCGCCAAGCCTTATAACTTTCTCCACCATCTAACATTTTTAAATTATATAGTTTTTATTCTATATTTGTAGTGCGATTTAGTCTGATCATTTTAGTTATATTCTCATCTATTTCCGTTAACTATTCATTGTGTAGCGGGTTGCTTTGGATTGATCCGCTGTTAGGAAAATCATCAGAATCTCCTCCTGCGCATCCCCAACCAAAATACTGTTTCTACCAACACTACACTACTGTATCTTCAAATTTTGTCTACCAACATTTAGTTCTATATAGATGTATTTCTATCATTATCTTTAAAATGTTCATATTTTTTTGGAATTTTTGATTATCTAGGTACTGGGCAATTTTCGAGTAAACGCCAAGAGATCGTGTTTGGGTCACGTTTGTACCTGTACTTATCTTTGTAAATATATCTGCACTGCGCGGAGTTAAAGAGCTACTTATTCTCGTCATTACTATCCGATTTTTGTCTTGTTTGGGCAAATATTCATAAATCTAGAAATTATTTAGTAAACCTACATAGCTTATACCAAAACTCTCAAAAGTCAACCACTCCCAACCTTAAAACTCCCTTAGTGATTTAAAATATTTATTTATCACTCTTGCTGACTCTGGACAGATAGCAGTAGGCTGCACCATCATTCTAATAGTATTTCCAACTTATTCCGTTGAACTTCGGTGAAAAAAGGTACAACGATACTTGACATCGACGGGGTGGTTTTCCGGGCTGAGAGCTGACTCAGCCGCGTTCCATCACTTATTACCTGTCGCTGTATATATGGCGCGAGAAGGCCTACTCGTGTTTTCACAGCGTTTGTGAACACAACCGGCATTACATACACACAAAAAATAGCCAAGACAACCTTTTTGTATGGCATGCAATAGCGGTGGTGTTCACAAACGCTATGAGTAGAGGGCGGGTGTGTCAACTTCAGAGGAATTTCGTTTGTATGGGAATCTGAGAAAATTCCAGGGTTAGTCTAGGCGCTAGTACCATTATGGCCAATTTCTATAAGTTTGATTGGCTGATTCTTTAAAAAAACGCCGAAGTTTACACACCTACCCCCCATAGCTTCTCGAGCCATACCTATGGAGATGGAAGTTGACACCTTGCTGGATCTACCAATCAGAAAGGTTCTCTATCTGCTTCGGCTTGGCGTGAGTCTGACACGACACTATCAAACCTCCGTTTTAGAGTTCGGTATAGGTTTTGTGGTCCTGCGCGGGTCTCGGGGGGCGAGAACGCTCGATTGATTATGATATGGTGATGAAGAGAAAAGACGTGACAGTATGAAGGTAAGTCTAGCGAATGAGGACACCGTTATCTGCCTTGTTGTCCTGACCTGAGCCAACGTGTCTACCTGTCATAGTTTGGCTCCTGTCATCCTGCTGTACACCACGTTTATCAAAGCTATACATTTTGGACTTCCGTTAACTACCATCCAAAATATGCGCCGAGTGCTGCGAAATGACATGTCCTACGGATATTCAGTACAAAGTACTCAAAACACAAGAGTTGGAGAATGTTATGGTAAAAGGAGCGGATACCTGGCTGCGCTGCGGTTGGTTCTTGGTAAACATATCCTTTCGAGGAGCTATGGACAATGAATATACCGGTACAAAAGCGTCTAGGATTAGGGATTAGTTCTACTATTATTACTATTATTACTATTGTTACTATTGTTACTATTATTAGCATTATTTGTCTTGCTATTATTAGTAATCCCATATTAGTATTAGTACCCGCATTGGTATTAGTATATGTATTATCGATAGGGAGTTGTAGAATCGAGTGATATTACATGATACCCAGGGCGCTGTAGTGCTCTGTACGCTCATAGTTGGACATGCGGAGGTTAAAGTTACCAGAGGACCGACTGTTTCCTATACCATACCAAGCTTTACCCAAACGTATGCAAACTAGTACATAGTAACTACAGTACCAAAAAAGGGGGTGTAATCCGTGCCGCAGAAACAGAGTTCTACGGTATTCTAAGTACAATGGTATTGAGAGAAATCAAATATTTACTATAATACGGTATTTGTGCTGAATGCCGCATTTGAGCAGCATTTCTAGTAATGCTACGCATTTCCGGGGTTTCCGGGCCATTTCCGGCCTGTACCTGCAACAAAAAGGTACATCTGTTATTTTGTTCACGATAATTATCAACACATCAAACAGTTACATGTAATTCATCAATATCTCCGTCATTTTTGGTCACTCATCAAAGGGCTAAGGAGAGTTGGGGAATACTTTTAAAAAATAATTTTTGTCCATCCGATATTCACTACATGATGGAGCAGCTATTCTATTATGTGCACAGGATGATGCTGATAATTCGAGTGATTCGTGTTGATGATCACGATGAGTGGTGTTGACCGAACAATCTTATTCCCCCCACCATGAAGGGTTACAGGCATTGGCTGTCACGCTCATATGTGACAGGAGCAGTGATGCGGTATTCCTACAGCATTATTAACAATTATTGATTCTCAAAAGTGCGGCTTTAAGTCGGCATCTCTCAGAATGCGGCATAACTTGGCAAAATGCGGCATTCCTACGGTATTTCTACGGCACGAATCACACCCCCTTTTTTAGTACTGTACCTTGAAGTCGTCCAGCAATACTTACCGCCGCGCCACGTTATGATTAACAGCGTTATGCCCACCTTGAACTCCTCACATTTTGATCTATCCATAAAAACTCCTCCAGCCCCTACGTCTATTTCCCTCTGACTTTCTCACCACACCAAATATAGATGCTGGACACAGCAGCCACACTTTGCACTGCTCAAGTTCTCATCCCCGCCGCCAACAAGAACCCTACACACCCTCCTCCCCCGACTGCGAGCACAATGAGCGCACTGCGGCTTGAGAGGCTCGGTCTTTGCATACTCCCCCGCAAGAGTCAACAGGCCGTCAAAATATTTTGTCATCACCCAGGTCAGCGACATCCCCGTGTGCCTCGCCGCCCCATCCAGGTCCGTAAAGTTGCCCACAAAGTCATACTTTCGCTGCGATGCCCTATAACCACCACAGCCCTTGCCGCCGATGGGCGTGGTCGCCGTCGCGCTGGTAGCGCCCCCGCGAGAGGTATCGGCATCTCAGTGAGACTGGTGCTTGGATCTGCGTGGAAGACCACAGCGACCGCCGCCGCTGGGCTGGTCTATCCCGTCTACTCGCACACGCTCTGATATACCCCCTCGAACCGGATCACCGTCTTCTCCGTCCAAGGGTGTCACAATCTCCGTGGGCTTACTGTTGCCGACATTCGTGCTGAGACTGCCTGTACGGCCTTCCTTGTGGTCCGCTCCCGAGGCCGCCACGGCGCCAAAGATGAACGCCAGGTCTCTCGGGCCGGCCAGAGTTATCGGCAGTGATGGCGCGGTAGGAGGCGATTGCGTGGTTGCGTATTGCGTAGAAGCTGGCAGGTGGGTCGGACGGGAAGGCGAAAACGTGGCCGTCGCTGGTGATGGAGAAGGCGGACGTGGGTGGTGTGGCTGGTGGTTGGGTTTGTTGGGGGGGGAGGCATGTTGGGTGGAAGCAGCGGTGGCGGCGGTGGAGTGGGGTTTAGTTGGTTGGCCGGTGGCTGCGGATTGCTTGGTTGATGATTGATGGGAGGCAGCGGCGGGGGCGGAGAATGAAGGAGTAGGGATTTGGGTATGTGGGGGGGGGGGGAGTCGTGCGGGCTATGGAAGGCATTTGCGGCGACAAGGCGGCGATTGCGGGGATGGATGAAGATCGGTGTCGGGAAGCCCGGGGGTGATCGGAGTACTGGAGACGTGGGCAAAAGAAGAGGCGGAGAGAAGAGGGAAAGAGTACGTGTGGGTATGGAGGTTGAGTACTGGAGACACCACTACATCAACACTCCTGCATCATCCCTGAACGACCTTTTGATGCCGTGAGGCCAGGGTATTTAATTTGAAGCCCAACCTGATCGATCATGCATTTATAAAGCCGAGTCGCGCAGTCTCCGTAACTTTATCTTTGGTAAACGTACCTATAGAGAAAGCTAGAAGGATACAAGTACTAGGGTGTAGCGAAAAGTGATCAGAATCTGATAAGACAAATACACCTATTCACCGTAACATTCACTTATCAGATTCTGATCACTTACCCTCAACACCCGGTACATGATGGATGGGCGATGGACGTCGATGCATGCAGAAGCGAGCCTCTCGGATTCCAAAGCCCTACCCGACCGACGAGTGGATTGCAACGATCGCGAGAGAGTGGTGATAGGCTACTGCTAACTCGGGCATATGCGTGCGAGGACCAATAGCTACATAGTTGACACCGAGTGCCGACCTACTCGAGTAGTTGGTTCCGGGTGTCTCATAACCTACAAAGACATATCAAGTACGGAAGTATAACAGAAGGTCTTCCCGAGTTGTCTGCGAAAACACGCTGATCCAGGCTCTGAACGTTTAATAGTTTGGCGGCACGTCGTCGTTCTATTACAGGCAAACCACACCAGGCCAAGGGAACATTGGGCGCGCGTTCGGTCTCTTGATCAGTTACTGCCGTGTACTATGCGCGCCTACTCCATCATGCAAGTTAAAGCCAGAGGTTATTCGAGAGAAGGAAGGATTGGCTGATATTCTAACAAGAGACTACGCGATTATATTAACGTTATCACAATGTTTGCCAACATCTCTGTACTCTACATGGAGGGATTTATAATTAATGCCGATAGAAGAAAAATAAAAGAGCTTAAAAATCGATATTAACTATTAATTGTGCACCACGGGCCTAGAGATACATGATATAGTTGAAACATAACGAGTTCGTTACCCGACTGTCTGGTGTAGAGATTCTGCGAGCTGCTAGGCACCAGACACATCTCGAGATCCTTCCCTCATCCCAAGTGAGTATTTAAGCCGCTCATGAAAATCACCACCAGGATATCCATCCACCTACTTAACCCCTCGCGAGATTTTCGAACCTCCACCACATATCTGGCCCTCCGCCCTGAGCATGCTTTGCGGACACCGCCATCCCCGAGGCACCCGCTGGCACCGGGACGCCGCCAACCCCCATGCACATATACGGAACGGCCACGCAGCAGATCTGGTACGAGCTATTATCCCCAAACCGTGACCACTGCGGTTAGCACGAGCCCACAAGGGATATGGGAGCTAGTGAAGACTTACCCTTCTGGGCCGGCTCGCACCGTCCAGCTCTGAGTGTCCGAACCCATAATTTGCCGAAGAACGATGTTCATCATGCTATCTTGCCCTCTGTTGGGCTCGACGGTCATCACGAGACCGTCAGGGGTAGGGCCGTTGGTATCGACAAAGGAAATGAAGTAAGAGCCCTCAGGATTGGGCATGAGGTGCCAATTATTGTTGAAGTTCATGTTGGGAGGAGAAAGAAGGGGCCGCTCGTTGGCAAAATTCATGAGGCTGCCGCCACGCTGGGCATTGATAATTCTTAGAATTCCAGACATTATGCTTAGATTGAAAAGGGGGGGTAAAATATCAGAAAAAGGGGAGTTCTATGAAGCTAAAGCTCAAGTTGCGGATGACTAGTTCTTGTGGTGGTGGTAAGGTGGTGGTGGTGGTGGTGCAGATTATATACACGTTAGGATGGCTAGCGCTAGGTGGAAGGAAGGTGGAGACCATAGAGGTCCGAGTATGAGTACAACATGTATCTACCTTAGTGTCCCTACGTAGGAGCGAGATCAAGACCGCTTGAGACATATGTACGTGTGCGTAGTTGCTGGCTGTAGGTACTCGTAGCTTCATAGCGTTTCCGAACACTACCAATATTGCATGACATACAAAAAAATGGATTCGGCGCTTTTTTGTATGGTATGTAGTAGTAGTCGTGTTCGGAAACGTCATGTATTTACGAGTAGAGTAGAGTAGAGAAGAGTAGAAGAGCTTAGTCGTTTAACTTGTGCCCTACATACACGAGTCTATCCGGTTTTGGATATAGTTGATGTTACCTCCGAGCTAAAGGCAGAAAGGATATCACAGCTGTTATTTAGCTACATGTAGGCACTTAGCCACGCCAACTAAGGCGCTAGGTACTCCTATATTCGGGGAACGAACTCTATGTGTAGCGCTAATTCTCGAGTTGCAAATCTACAAAAAGCCAAGATCTCCACGGAAACAGTCCTCTTCTGCAGGATCTAAACCAAATATAGTTTAGCAGGAGGCCCCGGCACCCCCCCCCCCCCCGAATAACTGTAGTGGTACTCTAGTTTCGGGTCGTCTGGTTCACGATGACTGATTGTCTACATGGCCTGAGCTAGTCTTGTAACCAAGTCGATATCTAGATACTCTTCTACCCTTGACTGTCTAAGAGTAGTATATATACATACGGCGGTATTATACAATGTGAACAAGATCAGGTCCTTGTGTGTCGCGAACCGTGTCTGCACCTGAGGGGTAGGGTGTCCCTCAATGCCTTGTGGCATCGTGAGCATCATCATCATGCAGCGTCGATACCACGGCCTGAGAGAGCCTCAGGTACTATCGCTCACGGAGTATTGGCAGACACTACCTCGTGTCCGTCAAGACGCCAATACCCCGTGAACGACAGCGCCATGGTATTTGTTGCACTTCAGCAGCTGGGGTAAGACAACGGGAGGGAGTATTTGTACGTCAATATGCGAGTTTTGGTGGAGAGTATCCCTGCTGCAGCGCGACAAACCCCCCCAAGCACTACAGTACCGACGCCAAGCAAGGTATAGATCTGCATGGCTACCACCAATGCAAGATCGACTACTCTAGAGTACGTGACATGTAGGGTGCTCTATGTAGGTTTTTATGTTTAATTGTAACGCTCTGTCGCAGTCCCAGAGACCTTTGAAAAACCTCCCCGGTTTGAATAGGCGCATATATATAAATTGCAATTGGCCCAGGTGCTAATTATTGATAAGTTTATTTCCATTGTCCAGCTGAGGCTCTCTCCAAGCCCATATGTAGCTTCAAATTACTCTACGTCGTGTGTCAGTGCCATGAATCAGAGTATCTACATGTATTGCATGTTTTGGCAGAGCTTGTGCGACGCCAAAGAGTGAGACAGAGCCAGGGGTACAGGGGGCAGTCGTTCAATTTAGTTCATGATCATCGGACCTGAATCTGGTTTGGCTCGTTCACTCTGTCTAGAGTTCTACTGATTAGGTAGGTATAGTAGGTACTCTACACAATGTCTGCCTCGCTTAAGAGTGATTGATCCCCCTTGCATTACATTACATAATTCCCTGCCTGGCATGGGCTGTGTTCCAATGGAACAGACATCCATCCCTTCATTGTTCTCGCAGAGTTGATTCCCTAGTGCATGGCTTTCGACCAGGGGCGGCGCGCGCCAGCTCCTAGCTCCTGACACCTCCGGGCGGGTACCTACATGTACTCAAATACCGAAATTTCAAGCATAGAGCATTTCGATGCAAGATCACGTGTCTAGTACCTCCCTAGGCAGAGTATGTATATGCATGGGGTACTAGGGCCACCTCGCGACCGCGAGACGTTGTAGAGTACTCTGATATTATTGAAAATGGATTCTACCGTGCTCCATCTCTTCCCCCTCTTCAACCTCCCAGTGTTCATAGTTGTTTCATTCAATTGAATTTATTTAGTAGTGATTGCTGTAGTTCATGAATTAATCAATGACCCGCTATACCTGGATCCACCGGTTTATCCTCCAGCCCCTCACTCTCCACCACTCCTCCACCACTCCTCCACCGCTCCATCACAGTACCCTCCACCGACCCTTCCGCCGCTCCTGAATCATGCCCTCCATCAGCACCCCCCGTGACCATCGACTGCTTCTCCACGGCCCCCTCCACCGCCATCTACAGCTCTTTCGTTGCTTCGTTATAGTCCCTTATTGTTTCTTATTCACCAAAAGCTATTTAATGTAGTTCTGTTATAGGGAACGTGAGGACTGTGGACGAGGACAACGACGAGTAGAGGGATTATAATAGAGACCAAGTACACAACCGAGCAACTAAGGCAGAAAACAGCAGTATAAACGTAGACAGAAGGTAACGTATTTCACCGGGAAAGCGATCATCACCGGGAAAGCAACCGAACCTCACAAAAAGAGGTTGTGGGCATCAAGACACAATATATGAAGGCAGGCACATATAAGAGGGTTCAGTGTGTTTTTCCCAAACCCTGGAGTTATATAATGAATATAAACTAAAATTTGGTAAAGTCGATAAAGCTTACACTCCCTAACCCAGTCAACGATCTCTCTGAAACAATACTCTCGCCAGATAGAGGTAAATCATGTCAAAAATAGTTGGGAGACATCTAAATAACACTTCTGGCTACTTGGTTCTGTAATTGTATATATATTCAACTTTCTTCAGCAACTTTGGATCAACCCGTTGTCACCCTTGATTGCTTTCCCGGTGACGATCGCTTTCCCGTTGAAACACATTATAAGCTATCCCTTCGTCTGTCGATGCTGCCCACCCTATAATAGAGAAATTAAATTTGTATGGGAGATCTGTTATTTGATAAGAGAGATAACGAGATCTGTTAGTAAAGCCACACCAGTTTTGCTTTTTCTTGGGTGGGCAGCTCGGTATTGTTAACGGATTTGGTTTAGGTTCTGGAGGTGGTTCTGGCCCAATCGGGCCAATATCAGACCGGTGAGGGTCTGCGTCGTGCGGGAGAGATGCTGTCACGTGGGAGGACACATTGCAGCGCACGCGAATTTTCCGTGTTGCCAGTGGTCCCGAAAATATTTAAATGCTACTTGAAGTGAAGATGGAATTTCCAGTTTTGGTGCAAGAGCATATCGCTTGATATCATTGTGACCGTGGACTTGAGACGGTCCCAATGATTACCTCGGATTTTGGCGGTGGCGTACCAAGTCTCTTTGGTAGTTGGCGATTGTGTTTGGTATGAGATTTGGAGTTGTCGAGAGTTGAAGATCACGTTCTATCCTAACTCTCCCCACCGGATGTATGACCGAACCATACAAACTCTGGTGCTGAAAAGGCTCAAAAAAGATATTGGTGGTGCAATTTCTGTGTAAATACATTCGGAAAGTGATAGCCAATCAGAGAGAATACTCAACCTACGCAATAGCATCCTACTGTGCGGGTACCCGTCCGAATGCTCAACCTAACACCGATGTGGTTCCCCACGGATTAAGGCATGTTGTCATTCAGATTTCAAACTACCTCGATGGAAGAAAATACTATTGATATAGAATCAAACATTCAATACATTGAATGCAGCGATATAGATACCGGAGACTTACACTCACACCTCCTCGGAGGTATGTGGACGTACAACCATACAAACCAATTCCGCCCCCGGAAGCCGGGGCAGCATAAAACCAAAGTGATTGCCAAGCGAAACAGGAGAGCCTCCCAGAAAGGAAAACACACACAGCTCTAGAAGGAGATTAACTTGTTCTCGATATATCTCGACAGAAATACTCTTTATACTGTCGATTGGCTGGGGTATCGGGAGTGACGTCGGGCGTATATTTCTATCCATGCACCTGCCATCGTCTTCCTTGATGATCGGCTCAGTCTGCTTAATTCACCTGCTCCAGCTGCTCGGGACCAGGTACCACATGCCAAATGATGGACTATCCATAGCCTGCGGTGAGTCTACGCACTCTAATTAACCCGGGCGCATATATCTTAGCCGATGGTGAGGGATGTTTCGTAGAATCATACATAATCACTTGGCAGTTCCTAGCATATCACTCGCCGTATTCAATCCTATGTGATTGATGATTGAATAGTGAATACATTTGTTTATTCAAGTCTCAAGAGAAGGGCCCAGTCTTGATGAAGTCTCGAGAGGTCGTGGCCCCGCGACCCCGGCACCAGAAAAAGAGAAATCGAGTAATGAAGTAACCCTAACCCTGAGTTGGGAGTTTGCATGACGGTTTAATTAATGAGCTGTTGGTACAAGCAAGATGAACCGCCTGCGCGCAGCCATATATGTAATCTGGAGGGGCACGCTTTGTCCACATCGGAACCCGCAGTATATATCCCGGGAAAGTTGGTGTCGCACCAGGAAGGACTGAAACGAAGAAGACTGCCGAGTGATTCACCATGTCGCACTCGATGAGCCTGCGCAACCTCTGGATCCGGATCTTTTTTTTTTTTTTTTTTTTTTTTTGGGGGGGGGGGTTTAATCCATTACTTGCTCTAGATCTGGATTGGCCGTCGTTGTCGTCGTTGTTGTTGTTCTTACTTCATTTCCGGACTGGTCGTTGTTGTAATTGCTTTTGATTGTTGGCCGGTCAATTATTGTATCGGTCGTTCCAACTAGGCAGCAAAGGTGACAATAGATCACGTGCAGGGGTATACACTGGTCTGCCAGGCTAGAGGTACATGTGCAAAAGAAACTTGGTAGGTATGTAGGGCGCCTTACCAAGCGCTATTCCGGCTTCGGCGAAGGGTATTATTTGATGTACTACACATTTGAAGTACAGCTATGCTATGCGTCTACAAAGTCGTTGCGCTTCGAGTTGCAGCATCTACATGTAGAGCACCCTCATATATAGGACATAGAATAAGGGAAATAGGGATTCTCAGGGCGGGGGACGGTTTGTCTAGGAGAGCGGTACCACTACATATATAGAAATAACCACTGTATTCGTTACTTGCATTCTTTGTTTTTTTTTCTGGACGCGAGGACGTAGCTATATATGGCACAGAGGGAAAATTCTTTTACAGAGAGGAGTAATCGCCCAAGTAGATGGAAGCTAACAT